AAGTTTATATCACAATCTGCTCGAGAGAGTCGTCAGTCCTACGAGCTCTTTTTACGCGAGTGTGGTAAAGTACTGTAAAACTACAGTGGAATGCTACAAACTTCCTGTAAGTTTCTGATAAACGATAAAAGGTACTGGTAAAGTTTTGCTCATCTATAAACTACCCACTAGAGAATAGTCGAGGACACTCGCTCTGCGGAGAGGGTGATCAGCCGCAAGTTTTTTTAAAATCTTTTTTTACTTTAACTTATTATACTCATATAATTCTTTTTTATTCTTCTATTTGTCTCCCTATATCGCTCTAATTCTGAAACTACCGTAAAATACTGCAAACTACTATAAACTACAATACAATATTCTACTATTATAAACTACAGTAAAATACTACAAACCTACAAACTACAGTATGTATGTATGTATTTATATATACCAAATAATATATATATATATAATATAATATAGACTATATGTTGAAACGTGATGGAGGATGAACTGAATATTCCACCAAGAAGAAAACAAATAAGGAAAATTTATCCTCAACTCATGAGTGTGTTTCTCCGTTTGTATGTTACTGCTGCTGGTGTAGATACACACGCACACACACACATGAACACACACACATACACTCACACACACACACATAAACACACACACACATAAACACACACACACACACACAGTCTTTGTAGAGCGTGAGAACATGTTTAGAGGGACCAATCAGAGCTGCCTGAGAGACTCTTTTGAAGCTCTCTCACAAACACGAACACACACATTAACACAATCACGTGTCTCATCAGGTCTCTGGGAAACAGTCCGAACAAACCGGAACCATCCGCAGACACGGCGCCTCCACCAGGTTCAGTTCTGCTGTCTCTGTTAATGACCCACTTCCTCTTTCATCTGAAGCACCTCTAACAAGGACTGTGTGTGTGTGTGTGTGTGTGTGTGTGTGTGTGTCGCAGGTCCACGAACCCTCCGGAGCCTGTGCAGTGTCCGGTGGCGCCCCCTGTCAGCGGGTAATAACACAGTGTGAGCTCTTGTACATCTTAGTGAGTGGGAGATCTTTCACAATAAAGCATGCTAAAATCAATTTACTATATATCATTTTATTATCATAATCATTTATTAAGTTATTACATTATTAAATAAATCCTTCAGGCGGCAAAAATATCAAACGTCTTTTGAAGATAAAATGCTTTCATTTTGTTTTTCATCAAGAGGGGTCAAAGTGGAACACATTGGTACACTTCTTTAGACTAAGGCCACATTTACACACAGCCGGGTATTTACAGAAACGAATATTTCTGCCCCTGCGTTTTCAAAAAAGTTTCTGTTTATATGAACCTGCATAATACGTCCCGGACGGCATCGTAACTACGCCCAACCCGCCCAACCTCGGCAGTGTAACGAGAAGGATAAAGACATGCAAACCAATCAGAATTCTCAAAACCAACAACAAGTCGCATACTGTGACGTTTGACAACCTAAAACCGAGTTCACGCGCAAACACAAAAACAGAGTTTTCAGAAATCTCCACTTTGGCCGGAGTTTTTAGAATTGATCGTTTTTTCCGTGATAAAAGCTCCGTTTCTGTGTAAATGAAAGGCCAAAACGCATGAAAATGGAAAAATGCGTTTTCCCATCGTGTAAACGGGGTCTAACTAATATCTTTTTCAGCTCTAGTTTTGGGAAACCCGTAGCTCCACCCACCGTCCCCCCTGCCTGCCATGCTCCACCTGATGGTGACATCATTACCATGCTGCTGAACGAAGCCCCGCCTCTTCCTACAGTGAATGAGTTTACAGCTCAGGATGATGAGGTTACTACTACCTCGACCCCCCCCCCCTCCACCTCCACCTGATTTGTCAGGAGTACTGTCTGCTCTGCTCCCCCCACCACCTCCCCCACCTCCTTCAGAGGCTGTAATCGATTACAGCGCTCCTCCACCCACTCCTTCCCTCAGCCTTGAGACAGGTGAGTTTTAAACCGATATCAATGGATGTTAACAGGACAATTATTTACACTCATCATCATGGTAACATAATCTTGACATAAGCCACGAGTCATTTCAAAAACCTCTTCATTATTATTTATGGTGAAATGTAGAAATCCTTCATTGGTCAAATTCAGTGACATCACAATGACACCCGTCTGTCTCCTTAGTGGTGGAAGAGAGCAGCTGGCCACCTCCATCCCCCCCTCCTCCATCTGATGATGTCGGCTTCCCTCCAATGCCCGATGAGGCCTTAGAGCTGCCAGCTCCGCCCCTTTCCCCTCGACCCAACCAAGAAGTAGAAGGTACCTGTCCGTCTGTCTCGTCCGCCTCGCCGGCCAACAGAATCGAGCATCATGCACATGGCGGCCATCTTGCTACATTCAGCTCGCTCACCCACTACATTGTGTTGGTAGTGGTAGGCTTACATGTACTTTTTAAATAACCATAACTTTCTCAATTCTCAACCTGTTTGTTCTAAAATAGGTACAAGATTTCCCTTTACAAACATATTGAGAAATGTTGCATGTTGAAATCCCCACCGTGTACAGAGATGTATTTATGACACTGCATACTTATGAATTATTATAATGACAGCCTTATTCATAAGTATGTAGTGTCATAACTAAATCTCTTACAAACTACTATAAGAAAACCAAATAGTTTAAAAAACGGTTGAAAATGTATCAAGTTATTATTATTTAAAGTACATGTACCAACACAATGTGATGGGTGAGCGAGCTGACTGTACCAAGATGGCTGCCATGTGCGGACGTTCTAGACATCCAGCCAAGGGCGTAACCACGCATTCTTTGTGGGGGGTCATGAGAAAATACCAATCTTTCCCCCCTTTCTGCTGCATCAAACTTTGTAGGATTCTGGGTGTCTTGTCTTCGTGCTCAAAGGCCTTTCAGTTTCTCACAGTGGAGGAAACACTGTATTGCTCTATTCTTTTGTTTTGTACTTTGTGTGAAACCAGCGCCCGACCTAAGGGTGTCTGGAGCGGTAACATGTGATTCACAGGCTAACCAACACTGTGGATCTGTGGTACAAACAAGGTTACAGTATGTATCAAGCCAACGTCATTTTAATCTGCCTATTCTCCGTTTTCAAGAAAACACAAAATGGCGGACGGCTGAACAGAAATCTAAAAATAACGTTAAATAGCATTTCATAGTAAAACTCCTGAAAGTGAAACAAAGCTGAACGCCGTGACGTTTTAAATGAAATAGAAACACGTAAACATTCACACAACATCTCTTGACGTTACACACAGTGGTGGCTGCTGGATTTTATTTTTGGGTTTGGGTCAGTTTCAGTAATCATGATTCTATGTAAAAAAAAAAAGGTATCAAACACGTATTATTACTTTTCAGGTAAATATTTAACATGTATTCCAACAGTTTAACATAATAAGGAAATCTTATTCAAACAATTCAGTATATCAATGAATACATATAACCATATAAAACAATATTCAGTTCATTATATGATATAACTACCACATCGTAACTATTATGAATATCATCAAATATATTATATTAAAGGATACAAAAGTTTATCCTTACAAAATAAATATATTTATATACAATCTTTTAGATGGTGACGCCAATATACGGCGTTAGCATGTAGCTAACCAGTAAGCTAAACATCCCGGAGTCTCTACAGAAGCGTGATATGCGCGGCTTCCCTTTCTCGCCGGTCCGTGGTCTGATCGATGTTTTTCTCTCGTACTGAGTTCAGGTCGGGTCTTCTTGGAGGACACTGCCGGTGGTCGCTCTTAGGGCGGCGAAGGGCCCAAATCTCAATGTATTTTAGGACACAGAAATTATAATGTCACTCTTTATCAGTGATGTGCTTCTTAGACCCTTTGCGACCGGCCTGAGCTGAGACAAGCAGAGAGGACGTGCAGGAAAAGCATATATTTTGCATAGATATCTTGATTTACAAATACTACCAGGGATATAATCCACGCTTCAAAAACACAAATACACAAATATTGACCAATGGTAAAAATGTATTTTTAATATAATAAACAACAAAAAAAAAAATATATATATATATATTTCTTTTTGTTTCGTCGCTCATGGTGGGGCCACGGCCCATTGCCCTCTAGGGACTAGCAACATAACATGGAACAGCGTTTTCAACCTATTACATGTGTCTGACCAGTCCTGGTATTGCTGAGCACTTGCTCATTTGTTGCTTCATGGTACTTCTCCACTTGTTTCTGAGTTTGAAAGAAGTTCTTTTTTTGTCTTCATTCAATCACACAATACAGGAGGTTGCTTGATGGAGATTTAAGCCTTTACTTCTCCATTTTTTCTCTTTCCTCTCCTTTTGTGGTATTTTTGTGTCATTTTCTTCCCTGGTGTTTTCCTCTCAGTTCCCTTTTACTCTCAGTTTTTTTTTCAAGTTTCTCTATCTGTCGTGTTTTCTTCAGTGAGCCTTCTGCCCAAGAGAAGCCGCCGCCGTCGCTCGCCCCCTACCACTCGTTCTCTCTCTTTGAGGGTTCGCTCCGGCGCTGCCTCCCGCTGCAGTTACACTCGCTCTCTTTTCCTACCTGCTGTCCAATCACGTAAGCCGACAGAGGGATGTCACTTTGATCTATACTAGAAACTAGGTGCAGATCGAAAAATACCAATACCACTGCAAATAATAAATAAACTTAAAAGAAAATTATTAATTTGCTTTTATCTGTTATTGTGTCTGAGATATTTGGACTCCTAATGCTGCATTCACACCAAAGGTATGAAATTCTTCGTGCCCCAGGATTACATAAAAATCTATGCACAGTCGACATGATTTAGTTCAAGTTGCGTTAAAACGCAGCAAACGCAAAATTTGAAATATTTCATATATAAACTTTAGCAACAATATGACGTGGATAAAAGGATAAATGAACGGTACTGTTAGCTGTGTGTAGGTACCCCGAGCTGTACGTACCCAACGTTATATTGTGACTGGTCCAGGAACCACCGTACACAGTGCCTTGCCACGTTGCCAGGGGACAGTTCGTGGCAACAATCAAATGGGCTAACGTTAACCTTTAGAGCGTTTACGTTTGATGTGTATGCAGCATATAAGGAAGTGAGTAATTGTTAAGGCTTGTTGAGGACGTCCTAAAGGTAATCTAGGTCCTTGAGGAAGTTCTAATAGTACTTGAGGATGAGAGGGGTTTTATGGGGAGGTTTTCTGTTTTCCTAATAGGTATAAGGGTTTCTTGAGGATGTTGAACATTTTTTGAGGATGTTGGGGTACTAGGGTACTAGGTGTTCTCCGGGATGTTGGGGTACTAGGAGTTATTCAGGACGTTGGGATACTCAGAGTTCTCCAGGATGTTAGGGCACCAGGAGCACTTGAAGAGGTTGGGTTACTAGGAGCTCTTGAGGATGTATAGGTACTAGGTCTACTAGGAGTTCTTCAGGATCCATAAATGTTTTGTCAATGCAGATGATCACTCTTCCTATTCTCTCTGTCAGTGATGATCCCCCCGCCTCCCCCCTACCCCCCCCCCCATGCTCCTCCATCCTTCTCTTCTTCCTCCACACTGCTCCCGCGCTCCTCTTCCTCATCTCAACTTTGCTTCACTACTTGCCACGAACATTTCGGTAAGAATACCAACATATCTAGTTGTAGTGTAGTTAGTATATGGTTACTGGTAGTATCAGTAGTAGTTTTAGTAGCAGTACCATTACAGTAGTAGGGCTGTAGTAGTGTACATCAGTAGTTACATACATCGGTAGCAGTAGTACTACACACTGTAGCAGTAGTAATGAACATTAATAACAGTGGTATGGGTTGATGTGGTGCAGCGCTGGGAACCGCAAGGTTAGTGGTTCGAGTCCTGGCTGGCCCATGTCCCATGTCGAAGTGTCCCTGAGCAGGACACCTAACCCCTAAATACTCCCTGGACAAAGCCATGGGTTAAACATGTTTTGCTTTGGATAAAAGCGTCAGCTAAATGACCCGTAATGTGATGTAATGGTACTGTACATCAGAAGCAGTGGTAACAAACATACACACAACTGAAAATATAAAGTTTGACTTTTCTGCTTTTTGTCAAAGCACTGCCTCCAGAGACCTTATTGGCCAATCCCTGCTGTCACTCACAGCACCTCTGTCCTCTTAGATCTCAAGCTCCCAGCCACGCCCCCTCCTCTCCTATTGGACGATCTGGGTGGTTTCAATGACCTTATGCCGCCCCTCCCTCCACCAGTGGGCCTCCACACAGACGCTCCTGACCAATACCTGGAGAAAGGTATACTCACACATGGTATACCCAAAAGGTATACCAAACACATATGGATAGATATGTATATATCTATCTCTAGTAGAGATAGATCTCTACTAGATTGTATACTAGTTTGTAGGGGTGTAACGATTCATTTTAACAACGATTCGATTCATGGACGATCTGGGTTAATTTAGAACGATTCGATTCAGTGACTTGAAATCGATTCAGTAACTTTACTGGACAGTGCAGGCAAAGTTTCTGAGATCCCTGTTGTTTCTTGTAAGGAAATCAGGTTTAAATTAATTATGGATATTATAAACAAGCAAACAACAATTAATGGCAAATGTATTAACCTTTTATTTGAATCAAGTGCCATTTTCAATGTAAACATTACACAATAATTACACAATGTTTGGATCAATTCACAGAACCCCGGATTTTCAACCACATCGTAGGGTCGCGTGTCTTTACAGATGAACTTGTTCCTGTGATGTTGAGTTTGGTGCTGGAGGCCTGAGGTGTCTGCAGAGCTGAGTTACCTGCTGCTGCGGCAGCGGTGACGCTGCTCGAGGTCCTGACTGTCGGCGATGTTTAATCCCGCGGCGCCTTAGTAGACGGCCGGAAAGATTCGTCGTGTTTCCCTGTTTTTTTATTTGGCTTCAACATATTCTACAAACAGCGACCATCTTATTTAGAACACCTCCATGTTTGCAAAAGCCCAAATGTTTCCACTGGATAGATAAGTTGGTTTGTAAATGTCTCGCTCGCAGTCGTCTCCTCCACGCCGTGTTTTGTTGTTGTTCAGAGTTTCGCGCGGCTGCCGCTGCGTACTGATGACGTCACAGACAGGCAGACTGAATCCAGTAACGTTTAACGCGTCTAAAGTGCTAAAAAACAAACAAACAAACACACATCCACACCGTTTTTGTACTTAAATCCAATGTGCAGTTTCCAAGTATCGATACAATCGATTATGTACCATTTCAATCGATTTGTAATCGATATATGTCGTCCGGAAGGCCGATTTGCGGAGCACAGATTGATTCAGTTGGATCGCAGGAATATAAATCGATTAATCGATTCAGTGAATGAATCGTTACACCCCTACTAGTTTGTGTGTGTGTGTATATATATATATAATATATATATATATATATATATAATCAATAGATATATAATGCAACTGTCCTGTGTGTCCAGTGGAGGCGCTGTACAGCTACGAGGCCTCCAAACCTGACGACCTTTCGCTCAAGGAGGGCGACGTCGTCTACCTGCTCCTTCGTCGTGACGACGGCTGGTGTGAGGGCTGTCTCCGCGGCAACAGGGGATTTTTCCCGGGAAACTACGTCCAGTCGTGTGATAAGAATGGAGCCCCAGTTTGAAATATGATTTGAAATTATAACGTATGTTGTACAACATATATACAGTAAGATAGTAAAATAGACACATATCCTAATAAATACAGAAAACCACTGGGTTCAAACCTAAAAGCTTAAAAACTTCTTGTTCCTGTGAATTACATCATGTTCTTGATCTAAATAAATACATAACTGTGGGTTATTTTACTCTAAAAATAACTGTTAAATAATGGATGAGAGTCAGACACGTTGCTCAGGTGTCCATAGTGTCGGAGCCAGCCGTGTTTTGGAAAATTAAGAGTGTATTTTAAATCTCCAGCTGTTAACTGTAATAGAAATACTTCCTGTGATATTTGTCTGTTATACCTGTCTCTTCACGTTTGTAATCATTTGATCAGCTGACACGTTGAAATCAAGCCCCGTTTCTGTTTCTGAAATCATTACTTAGTGTGTAGCACAGAGGTCTTCAACAGGGGGTCAACAGGAGGTACTGCAGGGGGATCGCGACATTTTGGGTTGATCATTCTTTCTGAGTGCTTCTCTGCTTCTCTGCCTGACTTTCCAAAGTGACCAACTTGTGCTTCCGAACTTCAGTCCCTTTTGGATATTCCTGGTCGATGTTTGGAGCATGGAGTGAGCTGAAGTGGCGCTGAAGATTTGAAGCTTTGAAACGCTCTAATGACGCCTGACATACAAGGCCGAATGGCTTGCCATTACGTTCAACAAAGGAATATAAACTCTCCCACTCTGTTAAAAGCGTCCTGTGTTCATCTTCATATTTTCCTTTTGCTGTGCATTTTTTCCGTGTCATATTGAGAGCCAACGGGACACAAATTGTTTACTCAAATGATCTTGCTTCCTACTGGGAAACTGTTTCATCTCACGCACATGCGTGTTTGACAAAAATACCGTATTGAACTCAAGCGAAGCGAACACGCTCACAGTGTCAGTAAATGTAATGTCATTTAAAAAGTGAATAAACTAATTATTAATGAAACACATTTTTTATTTCTGTCACAAGGATTCATAATTTGTAGAAGCACTTTTGTTTTTCTTTTATCAGCATCTTCTCTTTGTTCAGAGAATCCTCCTGCATCACATTACTTGATCATCACATCGTTAGCCCTCCTCTAGATCTGTTCATTGGCAACCAAGATCTAACGTTACGTCCCTGCCTGCTCAGTTGGCTCTGCATCAATCTGCTTGTTACATTACATGTCATGTCATTTAGCTGACACTTTTATCCAAGCTCCCCGTTGCTTGCTGTTGCTCCCTCACAGAGAGCTAAACACTCAACAACATCCCAACTGTTTGATGTCCTAGTTCCTAAACGGCATCGGGACAGCAGAAACGCCGCTACAGCTAAAAACACAATTCTACCCACTATACCCAGACGAGGTCGTTGTGGCGCAGGGGTTAGAGAAGGTGTGCTGGGAAGCACAAGGTTGGTAGTTCGAGTCCAGGCTGCCCTGTGTTCCATGTCGAAGTGTCCCTGAGCAAGACACCTGACCCCTAATTGCTCCCCTGGCAAAAATGTGAAAAGGCCATGAGTTTAAAGTGTGATCTAAGTTGCTTTGGATAAAAGCGTCTGCTAAATTACCTGTAATGTAATGTAATGTAATGTAATGTAATGTAATGTAATGTAATGTAATGAGGTATACCTTTACCCACTCTACCTGAACTAGATAGCACTTTATCAGCATGTATGATTGCTCTTATGCATAGCACTTTGTAGTTTGGCTCATAAATAGAAAATAAATATAAATAAATAGATAAATAAATAAATAAATAGCATAAAGATGTATCAGTGTTGCGGTCGATTGGCTTTAGATCGCCCCCTGCTGGCTGAAGCTGATTCCACCATGAAGCCCCACAGCTGGTTCAACTGATCCAGATGCAGTTTACTCTCCTTCCTTATCAGCTCCCAGGATGCAGGACTACCCCCCTGTTCACAAAGTAACAGTTAGTATTAGTACACATACCACCCTGTACCCACAGAACTACTGTCAGTTCTGGTAAGTGTACGAACCTGTACAGTGCTTGTACTTACAGTGCTGTACAGAGTTTTCTTCTCCAGTCTGCGGTAGTACCTCCTCAGGCGGGTGTTTCTTGTGATTTGAGTTGACACCTGACAACAAAAACAAGTGTCAGTACTGAAAGTAGTTGGAGTGAGCCGCTTGAATTAGCTAAAGTGAGCAGCTAAAAGGAGTTGAGTCTCTGTACTCACACAAAGGTTCAGTCCGTGTATTTGTCTGTGGATGATCATCAGGAAGCGTTCCATCTTGTTTGCATCCCAGGTAACAGAGGAGCGGTTGTCATGGCGATAGAGCTTAGCCATCAACTCCAGACTGTCTCTGATGAAAACCAACTGGTTGTCTTCCTGGTGGTGTAAGTGTCACCTTGCAGTTAAGATTGATCGATTGACTGGTTCATTGATAAATGATTGATTGATTGATTGGTTGATTGATGGATGGATTGATTAGTTGCATTGATTGGTTGGTCAGTTGATTGATTTATTGATTACCTTATCGTTCATTATGCGTTCGTAGAGTCGGTACGGGAAGGAGACTGGACTCTCCTCATCAGTCAGCTGATTGCCCTAAAACATACAAACACAATAACAGATGAAATTTCACTTTGTTAAATTTGTATGAATGTTATCTTCATATATATAAACATCAACAAAATAGTTTGTCTCTAGATGGTTCAACTTAATAGCAGCTTTAAAGACGCAAGTCAGTTCATTTAAACAATTAATCAGGAATCAGGAAACATTTATTGCCAAAATATGTCAAACATACAAGGAATTTGTCTTGGCGGTTGGTGCGTGACAGCAGACAGACAATAGACAACTTCACAATTAAAGTGATATTCTTAAATTAAATGTAAAACTTAGCATTGCTTTTTTTATGAACTTTAGAATCACTAAGACTTTACAAACTTTACGAACATCTGATAACCCCTCAAGCTGGATTAGGCAAGTTTGGAGAAAATATTAAGAGAAAGCTATATATTTTAACAGTATCCTAACCCAGGGGTCCCCAACCTTCCATCTTATATTTCGCGGACGGTCTTAAAGGTGGGGGGGCAGTAGTCTTGCGAGTGGATATTTGGTAACTTGAAAAAAACGCTGAAAAAGAAAATATGTAAAGAAGGACGAACGCACGTAATCAGGAGAGACTCCGGTCAATTTTCCAAATAAAACATTTTTCAGAAAAAAAGTCAGATGACAAAACAAAATGTATTCTCTTTGTGGGGCGGCTCAGTACCACATGGCCAACGGACCACTGGACAACTGAACTACTAGAGTATTAGACCACTAGACTACCAGATCACTAAACTACTGGACCACTAGATCACTACCAGACCACTGGACTACCAGCCCACTGGACCTCGATGAACCCCTAACTCTTTCAACTTACTCACCATGGTTTGGACGAGAGTCAGAGACACGTTGCTCAGGTGTCCATAGTGTTGGAGCCAGTCACAGCAGAGTCCAGGGGTCCCGGCGCTGCAGAGGAGGGTTAGGGTTAACACAAGCATGCTGGTCCAGCTGGTCATGATAAAGATGAGGAAGAGGATGAAGATGCGCCTGCAGAATGATTGTGTTTGTGTCCGACATGCTGCGGATCTGACACTTTTATTTCAGAGAAGACAGGGGGGCGGGAAAAGTGGGGATTTCTTAGAGACTTTCACTTTGCACACACTATGTGCATGATCAATATGTAAAACACAAATTATTTATATTCTTATATATAGTATACATTCTACTGCAGCAATAAAGGATGTATTCATTACATTTAGATTTTGTTGATTTATGTTCAACTGTTACCAGTAAACTAAGAGATGCGGTCAATCAGAATTGGTGTTTAACAATTAGATAAATATATATATATATATAATATCTATTTATAGATTATCCTGTTATTTTATAGATATAAAATACTCTGAACATAAATTATAATATTTACTTAACGTTTTGGTTTTGTTTGTTTCTGTTGATGTGGGAAGATTCCTACTTGTTTGCTTTCATTTTCCAAACCAGCTGCCTCAGGTTGCACATGTCATACACAGGCTGGATTTGAATTGTCAAATTCTCTCTCATTGAGGAAGGTTCCTAACTTAGTGAAATGACCCCGAAGTAGTGGCGCCATGACAAGAGCTGTTTTCTCCTAACCATCTTTCCTTGACCCTGTGACGTTTTCCACAGAGGTCAAGGAATAGCGGCTAGTAATAGACGTTAGGGGGTATTCTTTTTGACAGCTCAAATCACAGAGACAGATTTACAAAATAATAATAATAAGAGTGTGAGAGAGAAAAGTAAATACACCTGAGTGTGATTAAAATGTAATGAAGACACATTACAGATCTTTAAAAAAAATCTTCTACTTTCCAGTCTTATGTGAATTATATGCTTTTGCTCTGAAAGAAGCATCACACATGTTTCTGGTTTCTCTTGAATTTGATGGTTTGACATGCAACTGACGTCATTCGCGTTTTCACTTTCTGGTTGCTGAATATGTAACGCAGTGATGCCACACCTGCTGAAGTCACGAGTGAGTAGGGTCTGTGTTGATTGAGAGGATGTCATTTCAGAAGGGACAATTATAGGTCATCTACAAAAAAAATGATGGAGAAAAACATCAATGAATAGATCATTTGATCAATATAAATTACACTGTTCATTAATATAATTAATATAGACAACACACTGATAGATAGATATGTCATCAATGAATCAAAAAGTCGACCAATAACAGTGTTTATCCAGGTGGTAACAAATAAATAACAACCATACTCTTTATCTACTAAATAATAAAAAACAATATTTTAAAACTCGAAGAAAAGTAAATAAAACGATGTAAATGGCGAATAAATTTCTGTCAGGACATTTGTAACTGACGGAAATGTCGTCACTTTCTTCTGCGTGGTCATTGGTTGCTAGATTAGATTAGGCCCCGCCTCTCCGCGGAAGAGTGGGAAACTTTGTTTCCCAGAGTGGGACTCTTTGTTTCCCACTCTTCCCACATGAAAGAAAGAGAAAGAGAAAGAGAAAGAGAAAGAGAAAGAGAAAGCAGAAGCTGCAAGTACCAGTAAAATCAACTTTACCGGGAAATAAAAATACAACCAGAGACTAAAGGACTGACGGTTTGTTGTAGCTGTCATGCTAACGGTTAATGAACAGGAGACGGGGTTTGTTGTAGCTGTCATGCTAACGGTTAATGAACAGGAGACGGGGTTTGTTGTAGCTGTCATGCTAACGGTTAATGAACAGGAGACGGGGTTTGTTGTAGCTGTCATGCTAACGGTTAATGAACAGGAGACGGGGTTTGTTGTAGCTGTCATGCTAACGGTTAACCGACAGTAAACGGGGTTTGTTGTAGCTGTCAAATTAATTAAACACATCTTAAATCATGAGATTTCTGAGTGAACTTTAGATAAAGGCTGTAAATGTCACGTGTCTCTTTTGTTCTCAGGTGAGATGGAGGTGGACATCCTGGAGTTCAGAGTCCCTGTGGATAACAACAAGACCCTGTTTGTGTGGGACATCCAGCCATCTCACTCTGAGGCTCAAATCTACGTGAGTCCACCTGGGCTCAGGTTTCTGTGTGAGTCCACCTGGGCTCAGGTTCCTGTGTGAGTCCACCTGGGCTCAGGTTCCTGTGTGAGTCCACCTGGGCTCAGGTTCCTGTGTGAGTCCACCTGGGCTCAGGTTTCTGTGTGAGTCCACCTGGGCTCAGGTTTCTGTGTGAGTCCACCTGGGCTCAGGTTTCTGTGTGAGTCCACCTGGGCTCAGGTTTCTGTGTGAGTCCACCTGGGCTCAGGTTTCTGTGTGAGTCCACTGGTTGTTAAGGTTTCTGTGTGAGTCCACCTGGGTTCAGGTCTCTGTGCGGTTCCTCAGGTGGGTCTACATGGCGTCTTCTCGTCCTTCGGGCCTCTCTACCTGCTCAAGGTGTGTCAGAATTCTGCTCTTAACCCGCCGGGGTTCTACGCCCTCATCAAGTTCTACTCTGCTGCTCAGGCCTCAAAGGCACAACGGCAGACTGACGGACGCCCGCTGCTCCAAAGCTGTCCGCTCAAGGCAAGTCTTCTGATACACCAATCTTTGATTTTACAACATGTGATTTGCAGAACCATAGCATTGAACACGATGACTTATTTCATTTATTTTTCATTCCTGCTGAACTTGCTTTTATTGTGAATGTGAGCCGGGAAAAGGAAGTGATGGTGTGCTACGTTGTTAGAGGGTGTAGTTGTGTTATTGAGCAGAAGGTGGCAGCCTTTTACTGTCATTAACAGTGCAGTTCAACATGAGGCTACACGTCAACAGAGGAGAATAAGAGTCCCTTAAGCATTTGAACATATCCTTTTATCTTTAAGACATGCTGTTGCTGTACAACCACATAGGCTGAACTGAGCGCTCTCTGAAATGGGTCGGTCTGGTCTACCTGGGCACTTCCTGCTTGTCATCAGCTTTACCTCCACTGCTCCCGTTGCCTAGCAACCTGCTGCGCTTGGCAGTAAAAGCCTTACAACTAGTGCGGGGCAAAACATTTAATGCAATTATTTGCATGATTTTCTGTCATTAATTGCATTATGCGCAAAGCTCAATAATACATTCAAAACTAGTGTGTTGCACGCTTTTATTTTAAAGTGTTGTTATCAGAACCATATAACAGGCACTCTTGGAGCAACAGCAAGTTAACATACATGATATAAATCTGTTTAAAAAGAACACTAGTAGGTAGTGATGCAGGTTGAGCAGTTACACAAGGACTAAATTAACTTCTTTATTTTTATCCATTCCTGCGATTTGTCATGTTCTTCCTCCTCTGCACTGAGCCAGCTGCTAAGACACACCAGGTCATTTACATTTCAGATGATGACAAACTTTTCTTGACCAGCAGGAGAGAACCACCTTTCACATGTTGTAACATCTCCGCACAAAACAATGTTTACGATGACTACGGACGTCTGCCCGTGTTGGGGCAATACCAGTGCATTAACTTGCATAATTCAAACAGTATTTGGCTTGAAAGGGAAGGAGCTAACGCTTATTTTAACAGTTAAATCACCTGAATACATTACACGATCATTTTGATCAATAGTTTTACTGAAGTTGACTAAAGCTTGCCCGGATTAAGACACCGTTACGTTACTTCATGCTGCTTGTCGTCAGTGAGAACAGTTGGTGCTCGTTGTAACGCTGTGTTCTCCTCACGCCGTGCGTGTTTGGAGGCGCCTCATTCGCCGTGTTTAGAAGGACGCTTCAGTCTTCTTCGTCGGGTTTGTCCACAGTTCTCGCACGCCGCATCAGCGTAGTCTTCACAAGTCTTGCTCCACTGGCTGTTTGTAGCCAGTGGGCTCCTTTAAGGATGATACTCTTTTCCTCCGTATGATATATTTCAGGCTGAGAGAAAAACATTTTCTGGTTATCTTAAATTCAAATGAAATCAGTGAAGCCATTGTAGTGTCACGGGGGTCCCTCCCCCTATATAATTATATATATATATATATATAATTACAGACTATGCAGCATGATGCTGCTTCCTCCTGGCTCCATAATACACAACTAAATGTAAAGTTTATAATCACACAACAAACTAACACAATTCTGTTTCTTTGTGTATTTATTCTCAAAGTTGGTAACGTTACTGATTTGGTTCTTCTTGAGCTCACTTTTGAAGTATAAACTATATATAAACCCGTCAGTGGATAAGATATCGGTCAACCAAAATTGAGGAGTTAGAGGAAAGAGCAGCAGCATCACAGCAGTACAGGGTTATTATTGTCATTATTTAGCCTGGGATGATTTATTGTAGAGTGTTGTTGCACTGGGCAGGAATGACCTCCTGTATCGGTCCTTGTGACAGCGGAGCTGAAGGAGTCTGTTGGAGGACGTGCTCCGCTGTCCCTGCAGCAGGTGGTCAGGATGATCCAATATGGATAACAGTTTCTTCAGTGACCTCCCCTCCAACACCTTTTCCAAGCTGTCTTCCAAGACAAGCAGCCGTTAGCAGCGCAGCGGCTCCCGGTAACGTGAGCTGCTTGTGTATTTGTTATAAATGTGTGTTGGTACATTGATGTTCATAAGAAGCAGTACATGGACCCATGGGGGGGTAGGTAATGGGGGCGGTCTGGGTCAAGGGCTGTACGGGGGGGGGGGGCCACTTCTCCCGCTAATGTGTATTTTTAAACAAGACATTGGTTACCAATGTTGTATACTTCAGTGATATCGGCCGAGTTGCGCCCAAAGCGACGACTGCGTCCTAATGGAGGCAGTCACGGAATTGAGACATGCTCTATGCGTGCAGGTGAAGCTGAGCTCCAAACACACGTCTTACTTCCGGTCTGACAGCAGCAGACCTCTAAGCCACGCCCGCTGCCTGGAACTGGGCAATCACTGCCTAGGATTCAACGGCTGGACCTCTGACATCATCACAGTAAGAAAACTTACTTACTTTAGATCTTCACATCAACATAAAAGTGAGTGTGTGTGACTTCCTGTCTCTGTCTGTCTTCCTCAGCTAAAGGAGCTCACAAACACTGAAGAAGAGCATGAAGGTGGAGGCCGATGGAGGAGGCTAAAGTTTGGCTGTTTGCTGCAGCTCTCCTTCCCTCATCACAGGCAGACGACCAGAGCAGCAGCAGTGGTGGAGGACTGCTTCACCTGCACAGGTGGTGTGTGTGTGTGTGTGTGTGTGTGTGTGTGTGTGTGTGTGTGTGTGTGTGTGTGTGTGTGTGTGTGTGTGTGTGTGTGTGTGTGTGTGTGTGTGTGTGTGTGTGCGCGCGCATACACACTCACCGGCCACTTTATTAGCTTCACCTTGCTAGTAAAAGGTTGCACCCCTCTTAGCCTTAATTCTTGGTGGCATCAACAAGGTGCTGGAAACAGGTTTTAGTCTATATTAACCTGAGTGCATCACGCTGTTGCTGCAGGTTTGTCCGCTGCACGTCTGATCCTCCGTTCCAACACATCCCAAAGGTGATGTGGAGGCCATTGGAGTAGAGTGAATTCATGTTAAAGAAACCCAGTTTATGATATGATAGGGATGATGGACATGGTCGGCAACAATACTGAGGTAGGATGTAGCATTTGGCCAGATACAGCCAGAGCTAGAATGGAATGGTTTGAATCAAAGCATGTCCATGTTTTAAAATGGCCCAGTTAAAGCCCACATCTCAATCCAATTGAGAATCGATGGCAAGATTTTAAAATGACTGCATGAAAATGCAAAAATGAGGGTTGTACCAAGTATTGACTCGGGGGTGAATACTTTGTAGAACCCACCCCTGATCCCCATCCAGCAGATATGACCTTCCCAGCTGGCCATGCTGGGAACACGCTCCTTACCAGATGCTCAAACCACCTTAACTGGCTCCTTTCAACGCAAAGGACCAGCGGCTCAACTCCAAGCTAACAAATGGCTGAGCTTCTCGTCCTATCTCTAAGCGAGACGCCAGCCACTCTCCTGAGGAAACCCATTTTGGCCGCTTGTACTCGTGACCTAGTTCTTTCGGTCATGACCGATCCTTCATGACCATAGGTGAGGGTAGGAACAAAGATTGACCGGTAGATTCAGAGCTTTGCCTTCCGGGTCAGCTCTTTTTGTTACAATGATGCAGTAAAGCGAGTGCAATACCACCCCTGCTTCTCCGATTCTCCAGCTGAGCTCACACTCTATCTTCCCCTCACTCGCGAACAAGACCCTGAAGTACTTCACTTGGGGTAAGGGCACATTCCCTACCTGGAGTAGGCAATCCATCGGTTTCCTGCTGAGAACCATGGCCTCAGATTTAGAAGTGCAAATCCCAACTGCTTCACACTCTGCTGCCAAACGCTCCAGTGAGAGTTGGAGGTCACAGACAGAAGATGCCATTAGGACCACATCACGTACAAAAAGCAGCGATGAAATCCGCAGCTCCCCGAACTGTAGACCCTCCTCCCCCCGACTACGCCTCGATATCCGGTCCATGAAAACCACAAACAGGATTGTGACAAGGTGCATCCCTGGCGAAGGCCGACCCCCACCCACTGATCCACTCACCACTGAGAGATGTCAGTCAGATAGGCAGAGATCCGAGTGAGGGAAGGAGAGAATTAGTTGGGTGTCAGGTGCGCCCATCAAGGTAGGACGAGAGGGAGAGAGCAGAGCCTGAGACACCAAGTTCCTGAAGGGAGGAGATAAGGATCTGCTGGTTGACTGTGTCAAATGCAGCAGAGAGGTCCAGAAGGACGAGGACAGAGGAGAGAGGAGCTCTAGCAGTGTGGAGTTGCTCTGAGACAGCAAGGAGAGCAGTCTCTGTGGAACGGCCTTGAAGCCTGACTGGTGGGGGTCCAGGAGGTTGTTACGGTGGAGATAGGAAGAGAGTTGGTTAAAGATCACACGTTCAAGGGTTTTGGACTTTAAAGGAAAAAGAGAGACCGGTCTGTAGTTGTTTTCTTCAGATGGGTTGATGGTGGGTTTCTTCGGGAGAGGGTTAACTCTTGCCTCCTTCAGAGAAATTAACAGGTGAGGAAAGGAAGTGGCGGTTAACAGGTTCTTGGATGGTTCCCCGTTCCCCCCTCCTGAGGTGCCGTATGGTCTTCCAGAAGCACTTTGGTGCCAACTGAAAATCCTTCTGCATAGTTACCCCAAAACCCTCCCACACTCGCTGCTTTGCCTCCATCATGGCAGAAGCTGCTGCCTTTAGAGCCTCTCGGTACACTGCAACTGCCTCCGGAGTCCCTTTTGTCCACCGGGGTAACTCCAATGTACCAGCACTCAGCCGAGGACCTGGCGCCTCACACCATAGGCCATTCTAGAGTAGAAAAGAGTCCATCCCCTATCCAGGAGTGCGGTTCCACAGCCAAAGCTGTGAGTAGAGATAAGCCCCACCAAATCCAATTGATAACGCTCCACCTCTTGCACAAGCTCTGCCACCCCCACCTCCCAGAGAGGATACGTTCCACGTCCCTAGAGCCAGCATCTCCCGCCCAGGTCTGTTCCGTCTAGACCCCTCACTGTCACTGCCACCCTTGTAGCAGCGCACCCGACCCCATCGGTTTCCCCCACAGGTGGTGAGCTCATGGAGAGTAGAGTTCTAGGGTGCAGCACCACATTCCTCGAGCTGCGGCAAGCCCGGCCACCAGAAGCTGGGCCTGGCTCCTGACACATGTTGTGTGGATCAAATAGGAAAAATTCCAAGGGGCTGAAGACTTTTATGCAAGGCACTGTGTAACAGCTCCCGGGATCCGTCTGCTCTATGCGGCCGCCTAGGGCTGGAGAAGTCTGACGGTCCCGTTAACTACACCTAAATCTCCGAAATCCTGGAGCTCATTGTTTAAGACTGTTGACAAACTGACTAAATAAATATTGCGTAAACAACTAAGAAAATATTATTATATTCTGTGACTTAACAAGAGGGTTTTTTACAATGTTTAACCTACATTTGTGTTTATTTTCCTCTGCCATTGTTGTTGTTGAGGTGAAATGCATTCTGGGTTATTTGGCTCTCACAACAATGGACAAGTCTACGGTTGCCCTGAAGTGCAAAACACAACGGCAAATAGGAAAACACAACGACAGTAACTTCTTACGTCTGTCCAATCAGAAGGGTCCGTCCTCTGCTATAAGGTCCCACCCATTCCGTAAGGAGTTAATTTCGTTGTGTTTTCCTATTTGCCGCTGTGCTTTTCTATTTGCGTTGTGCGTTCCTATTTGCCGTTGTGTTTTGCTCTTCAGGGCCACCGTACAAGTCTGCTCTGATGCATTCCGGTTAAAATGGGAGGGGTGAGTCAGATCCGGAAATTTTAACTGTTCACAGCAAGATGCAGACCTTTTAATTGAAACGTACTTGGGTCGTAACGTTTAAGGGGTCCGCCAGAACACAAGTCCATGAGGACACAAAGACAGAAGGACACAACTACACAAGCCAACAAGTTCACGAGGACACAAGCCCAAAAGGACACTAGTATGGACATTAACAGATATTGAAAATAGAACCATAACCGAAGGAAATTTCTTTGTCTTTAGATCCGGATCTTCTGATACAGAAGCGGTGTAAACTCCATCGGCTGGTCCGAGAGCAAGCGCTGGTCAACGCCTTCTCTCCAGTACTACTCCTCCTACTAGGTATAAATACTACTATTACTAGCACTGTTGGGGAGGGGAGGGGGTCCTCTATATGTACAGAGCTGATCGATGACCCGTTGATGATGACCTGGCTCTTTATCTCTGTAGGTAGCGGTAAGGTGATGGTGGAATTGAAACAGACCTCGGATGAGTTTCTACCTAATGAGACAGAAGGACTTTTACAGGTAAACTCAACTGGGGTTTCTATAGCTAATGGAATCAGTAGCGCTCTCCTTTGACCGTATCCGTTGCCTCTGCTGCATTTGACACAGTGAACCACCAGACCCTCATATCCTTCCTTCAGGACCTTATGGTCTCAGACTCGGCCCCTCCACTTATCCCACCTCCTCTTACTACTGGGGTCCCTCCTCTTCCGTCACATGGCTTTTCCTATTATTGCTATGCTGATGACACCCAACTGATAGCAGCACAGTAAGAGTAACGTTCACCAACTCGACTGCTGGGAACCTTGATGTAACACCCGATGGTCAGCGTTCCTCACTGCCAACATCCTGTAAACAATCAATCAGTGTTAAGATCAAAAGGGATGTAAGCAGCACCGCTAACGGCGAAACATCAGAGGTTTGCTATAGTTACGTGATGGTGCGTTTTGTGATACATGTACAGGATACTATGTTGTTAAAAGTGTGTCATAAAAGGTTTTCGTTGTCGTTTTTATACAGGTTAATATGTAATCTTCCCTCATTATGAACATATATACAGATCTACATACATAAAATTACATTTTATTTTTAAATCAATTTCAGATTTGCCTCAGATATCTTTCAGTCTGTGCACATGCAACATCCGTCTCGAAACCTTCCCATCGGCACAGGAAAAACTCCCCAAACTATAACAAACCATTCAATGGGGAGAGACCTTAGGCGGAGAGGGGAGAGAGGAGGATCCCTCTCCCGGGATGACTGACTGCGACAACGGATGTCATGTGTACAGAATGAATGATGTAAAAGATGTACAATACATTCAACAGTTGTAAGTGTATCAGTTATCTCTCTGTCTTTCAGGTAGAAGAGTTTTCCTGGAGTGAGTTTGCTGCTGATGAAGAGGCTGTCGAAGAAGAGTGGGATCTGACTGTATCTTAGACTCCCAGCAGACTACCAAACATTTGCATTATGGGAAATATCAAGGTTCACTGAAACATTTTCATGTTGATAAATGTTAGTCAATAAATGTTTTATTAATTGTTTTGGCTCAGATTGTTTGTTTCACAATAAATAAATAATGTTTATTAGGTAGAATATGTTAATGAGGTAGTAAAGGTCAATAGTGAGGTAGTACATGTTTCGGAGGAGTTGGTGTAAGCTAATATTGAGGTAGTGTATGTTAATGGCGAATGTTTTAAACATGCTAGTGTCAAGTATTTCAAGTATAGCCCAAAATCGCTGCGGGCTTTATAGTCTACACATCCATCAACATCCTCCGTCCCGAAGCCCTCACATCGGCACAGGAAAACCCCCAAAAATGAAAAGGGAAGAAACCTTAGGGAGAACGTCAGAGGAGGATCCCTCTTCCGGGATGGACAGACTACAATGGATGCCATGTGTACAGAATCAACAATGTATAATACATGCAATTATATGACTGAAATGAGTCAAGTAATTGTCAGTAGTAAGCCAGGCGCACAGCAGGACCACTGCAGGGGCAACCACCATCAGATAGAACCACCATCACATAGAACCACCATCCACAGAAGCCTGTGGGGAGGGAGAGCACAGAGACTTTAGGAGAGGGTAATGTTGGTTTACGAGTCCAGTAATATGATTAATATCTAAATGATGATGATGATGATGATGATGGCAGCAGCAGGCGTCAGCAGGGCCACGGCAGGTGTCAGGACCAGGGTCCAGAAGGAACCACGATCTACGGAGACCTGATAGGGGAGAAAGCACAAAAAAAACTCCCTGAAAGAAGCTGAATTAGTCATGTGCATTAATAAAACTTGAATTATTGTAGAACAAGAGCGTGAGAGAGGAGCTCGGTGTGTCCTAGGAAGTCTAAGCCTATAGCAGCTTAACTAAGGGCTGGTCTGGGCTAACCTGAGCCAGCCCTAACTATAGGCAGAATCAAAGAGGAAAGTTTTACTTTAAAAGAGCTGACCGAATCTGCCCCCCGGACTGAAAGTGGAAGCTGGTTCCACTAAAGAGGAGCTTGATAACTGAAGGCTCTGACCCCCAGCCTACTTTTTAAAACCATAGGAACAACAAGTAACCCTGTTCTGTGTATAGGTTTGTGTATGTGTTCTGTTTTGTTTGTTTGTTCATACAGGTGGTACTGATCATCCATGATCTCCATTCATCTTGGCTCCACCCCCGCTTGTTACCCGGTTCAGCTGTTTCCACTCATCTCCAATCCCATCATGCCCTTCTGTCGGTATATGTACCCCTGTGTTTGTTTCACCCGTGTGGGTTTCATGCTGGTTGTGTGTATGTGAGTGCTGGTGTATGGTGGGGTAGTTATTAGTTCTGGTGATTTGCTGTACTGTGTTTTCAATTAATTGTTTTTTCTTTGTTCTTTTTCTTACAGGGGGATGAGGAGTAGTTTAGCCCTGCTCCGGAGTTTACATACCTGCACGTAGGGTTACTCTCCTGTCTAACAACACTAGCTACACCTGGCTGGGCCACCTACTGTAAGTTTGGGTAGGGCGCCTTGTTGGTGTGCCAGTTAGTTTTTGGCTTTGGCTGTAAGGACAGAAGTTCCATATTTTATTAAGCAGATTCTGACGCTGCCCCACACTCTAGCCCTCGAGGTCTCCCTCTAAGAAACGCAATACACACTCATATAAAACTCGGAAACGGAGCAAAGAACTAGTGAAACATAATCAGTGATTGTGAAAAAAGTACAATAGATATCAACAAGCAGTTTTTTCATAAAACAGTTGAGACTTGTGTCAACATTTGAAAGTTGAAATGGTGTCTGTAGCTGAATGATTGGCGAAGCTGAAAAATTTGAAAGTTGAAGAATTTTAAGAGGATTTGAACACGATATCCATAGGAAAATCATTAGAAGAAATATTCATGATTATTGATTTATATAAATTCAAGCTTAAGAGCTAGAAAGCTGAAAAGTCATAGCACCCCTCCCGGGAAAGAGCTTAATATTTTATTATTTGAATGGTTTTAATAGCTGAAAGTGTGAAGCAGTTGAAAGGTGGCGCGGAAGAAATACAATAACTAAAAATGCATTTCCTGCTGAAAACGCGTTGGAATGCAAAAAGCTGAAAGCTGAACTGAATTTTTAAAAATAGCTGAAAATACAGAAAAGTTGAAGGGAATTCGAATACATTTGCTGAAATTACAGATATTAGAAAAGCTGAAATTAATTTGAAATTGCTGAAAATACAGAAATGGGAGAAGCTGAAAGTATTTTATATTTTTGCTGAAAAAGCAGAAATGAAAACAGCTGAAATAAATGTGAAATCTTGCAAAGAAATACAGAAATGAATATTAAAACATTGCTGTTAATACAGGCATAAGAAAAGCTGAAATCATTTTAAAAAACTACTCAAAATACAGGAAGTGGGGAAGCTGAATTTCAATAGATTTTCTAATTTGCAGGAGCTTAATTGAATTTTAAAAAGTACAGAAATAACAAAAAGCTGAGATGACTAAAAGGAGGTTTAAAATTGTTTGTAGTAATGTTAGTAGTAGTATTAGTTATAGTTGTAATTGTGGTATTAGTAGTACTAGCAGTAGTCTGTTTAGTATCTATAGCAGTAGAAACAGCTGGAATACTAATACTATTAGCCATAGTAGTATTTGTAATACTATTAGTAGTAGTTGTAGTATTAATAGCAGTAGAAATACTAGTAGTATGGTAGTAGAAGTAACAGTTGTAGTAGTAGTACTACTAGAAGTACTAGTAATATTCGTAGTGGTTGTAGTAGTATTTGAAAGCAATACGTATTTCAACGAAACCGCTTCATTCTGAGCTTCATTGTTAAGGTACAGATAATCATTGAGGCTTTTATTTTGTAATGATGGAATTGGGTGAGGGGGGGTTGGGAGACAGAATGTTTGTTATTCAAACTAAGACGTTTTTAATTAATAGGCCTCATCACAAACATTACAGTAAGAATTCCCTCCACTGGGCTTTTATTTTGAAATTATTGGATTGGGTGGGGTCGGGGGGTGTAGATAGAGGGAGGGAGGGTGAGAGGGTGAGGAAGGGAGTCAGGATCAGGAATCAGGAAACATTTATTTGCCAAACATACAAGGAATTTGTCTTGGCGGTTAGTGCGCGACAGTAGACAGACAAGACAACAGTGCACAAGTAATAAAATGCTAATGCAATGGGTTAGTAGAATAAGGCTATGGGTTAGTATAAAACAAGGGAATAAAGTTAAAAATTTTAAATATTAAAAAAAAGTTAAAAAGAAAAATATTAAGCATAAAGTGCACTAACGAACAAGTAACAAACAAGTAACAAAGTGACGAGTGACGACAAAGTGATGAATTGCAGTTAAAGTGGCATGTGCAGTGTGAAGGGGAGTGACCGGTGGAATGTTATAGTCAGTCAGTGGGGGACCGGGCTCTGTTGATAAGCCCGACTGCCGACGGGAAGAAACTGTTGGTGTGGCCGGGAGGTCTTAGTCCTGATGGACCTCAGCCTCCTGCCAGATGGAAGGGGCACAAACAGGTTTTGTCCGGGGTGAGAGGGGTCGGCCACCATCTTTTAAGCTGCTTCAGAGACCTGGAAGCGAACGAGTCCTGCAGGGACGGCAGCCGATCACCCTCTCCGATCACTCTCTCTGCAGAGCGGAGGACACGCTGCAGCCTGCCCTTGTCCTTGGCTGTGGCTGCAGCGTACCAGACTGTGATGGAGGAGCAGAGGATGGACTCCATGATGGCCGTGTAGAAGTGGACCATCATCGTCTTTGGCAGGTTGAGTTTCTTCAGCTGCCTCAGGAAGAACAACCTCTGCTGAGCCTTCTTGGTGATGGAGCTGATGTTCAGCTCCCACTTGAGGTCCTGGGCGATGATGGAGCCCAGGAAATGGAAGGAATCCACAATAGTGACGGGGGAGTCACACAGGGTAATGGGGGAGGGTGGGGCTCTGTTCCGCCGGAAATCCACAACCATCTCCACTGTCCTCAGAGCGTTGAGCTCCAGATTGTTCTGGCTGCACCACGACACCAGATGGTCAGACTCCCACCTGTAGGCGGACTCATCCTCACCAGAGATCAGTCCAATGAGGGTGGTGTCATCCGCAAACTTCAGGAGCTTGATGGACTGGTGGCTGGAGGTGCAGCTGTTGGTCTACAGGGAGAAGAGCAGAGGGGAAAGAACGCAGCCTTGGGGGGAACCGGTGCTGATGGTCCAAGAGGCTGAGACATGTTTCCCCAGCTTCACGTGCTGCTTTCTGTCAGACAGGAAGTCTGTGATCCACTTGCAGGTGGAGTCGGGCACGTGCAGCTGGGAGAGTTTGTCCTGCAGCAGAGACGGGATGATGGTGTTGAAGGCAGAGCTGAAGTCCACAAACAGGATCCTGGCGTAGGTTCCTGGGGAGTCCAGATGCTGGAGGATGTAGTGGAGGGCCATGTTGACAGCATCGTCTACAGACCTGTTGGCTCTGTAGGCGAACTGCAGGGGTCCAGGAGGGGGTCGGTGAGGGACTTCAGGTGGGTCAGGACTAGCCGTTCAAAAGACTTCATGACTACTGTAAGAATATGTGTTCAAGATTTGGAGCCTGGTCGGGGTTATCAAAAATTCAGCCAAACGACTTCTCTCGTTCTGGGAATGTATTTGTCAGATCACAGGTCAAGTATCAGCGCTGCGTTTGCAAAGGCAGGAGCAGTTCAGGCAGCACACAGGCCGGAAGAACAACTAACTAACATCAGCAAGAACATCATGTTTTATAACCCTTGAAAGACAGAGAAGGAAAGATTTCTATTGGCCCTAAACTGACGTAGAGGAGGACCTTCCACCTCCCGCATCTAAGATCCAGTCACATCCAATGTCCAGACTCCTGACTTAACGTAAACATCAGCGAACAGAGTGTGTATGTTGAATAGTGTTGGTGTGTCTCTAACCCCCCTTTGGCTGGTAAATCTGCTAGTTGACCCGCAGACCTTGCATTCCTCAGCCAGGACAGAAACTGACTCCCCATTCTGTCAGACTCGTGTCTGCCTGCTCCTTACCTAACTCTTAAATCAAGACAAGACAGCAAACCCCCAACTAAGCCCATGAAAATTATCACTACAGAGGTCAGGGCGACGGGCCTGTAGTCAATGAGTCCTGTGATCCTGGGCTTCTTGGGAACAGGGATGATGGTGGAGGCCTTGAAGCAGGCTGGTACGTGGCATGTCTCCAGGGACAGTTTAGACAGTAACAAACTTTTACCGTTCAATATAAGACGTGATGGGGTCATTATTAGAAGCTCCACTTCACAACAGCATACAACACTCACGCTTTGTTCCTTATGTTTACATTAATGTCAGGAGACCACACATTGCATGTGATTGGATCTTTTATTGCAGCGTGAGGACCTGCTCCTCCTAAACGCCAGTTTAGGGCCAATAGAAATCTTTTCTTCTATATCTAACAAGTACAAAACCCGCTGATACTTGACCTGTGATCTGACAAATAAATCTACCAGAACCAGAGAAGTTGTTCGGCTGAATTTGTGCAAAATAACCCCGACCAGGCTTCCAATTCTGATGTTGATGTTTTGATACTGATGTTGAATGTATTAGTTATAGGAGTGTCACTATGAGGTAATATATGTTAAGGAACCGTTGTACATTAGTGAGATATGTGTTGATAAGAATGTGGTGTATGTTAATGTGGTAGCGTTGGTTATTTATTAGGTAGTGTAATAATATGAGGGAATATATATTAGTAATGAGTAACTAAAGGGTGATGAGGTAGTAAATGTTACTAACTACATGGTACTCTTAACAAGGTAGCATCTCCCAATAACTACGTAGCATTTGTTAACAATGAGGTAGTTTGTCAACGAGGCTGTAGATGTTAATGAAAAACAATAATATATGTTAATAATGAGGCTCATAGCTCTTTGAAGTTTCTGCATCTGGCCAGTTGACAGAAAATCTCAAAATTCTTTAATTTTATCAGCATAAAAGAATCACACATTACGTCCATCACAACGACTAACCCTATGACACACAAAATATGCTGCTTTTGCGGGCTGGTAGAATTATCACAATTAAAAAAGGCAGTGAGAACACACAGAAAACTGTTCCGTGGAGATATTTATGTAGTAAAAACATAACAGGATCTATCAGCCACCTGAAAGCAACAAAAGCACGAGGACATCATCAAAACATTTACAGGATCAGATGCTTCATCATAACAGTGTGGCACATGTGACTCCTGTTTAAAGGATCATTCCACCTATTTCACGAGTTATGAGTCCTTTAACTTTTAAAGCTGTAATTAAAGCTTGGTGTATGTCTTCATTTATTTCATCTTACCAAGATGATTCTGTTAATGTATAGAAAAACGGCAGTGTTTGTTATGTTCAGTGGATGATATCTGGTTTGGGCCGGTTCATTGTTTCCATGGAATCTGTGTCTCAGTTCGTCTCAGTCCAGGAGGTGACCCAGTTTTTGGTTGACTTCCTGGATGAGGAGACCTGGTCTTGAATTAGGAAGTCTTGAAACTGAAGCTGCTGCTGCTGGCGCTCATGTTTACTCATAATCCGTCCCTGGTGGAGCGCTGTGGTCCCCCAGGCACTCTGATGCACAAAGAAACCACACTGCAGACAAAACACAGGAAATATCCATAACTCATTAAACTGGAGTTCATAAAGTCATAAATAAGGAAGTGTAATAACATAGCATATGGGGTAAAAGAGAGCCACTAAAGGTAATGAGGTAGTATTTCTTTATGGGAATAGTGTAAAATAAAGGGTTGCTAATGGGGTAGTCTTTGTTCATATTGAGGCAGGGTACGTCAACAATGAGGTGGTTTAGAAAGAATATGTCAACATTGCACTAAAGGGCAATGAGGTAGTATCTGATCAAATATGAGGAGGTATGTGTTAATAATAAAGACATTAAGGGCACTCTTGGTTCAGACCTAGCTTTTCTGGTCTTAACTCGAAGCTCCTAAGTGGACTTTGGTTGGCAATAGATCTTAATCTGTTTACCTTCCAGAGCAGCAAGCAGATCAAAGCCATCAGTGAGACCCCCGCAAGGACCGAGACCACCAGGATCCACATCGGGGCTCGGGAAACCCACTGCTGCCCCGGGTCTGGATGGATGTGGACCTCAATCTGCAGAGGAACAACACCAATTTAGGAGCTGGATCCTGTTAGAGGAGCGCTGGAGTCACGTGCATTCCTCTCAAAGTTCTCAGTGGAAGAAAAAACAGAGAATGTACAGAATGAAACCACGAGGTCATCATCATCACTAGCCTCTCTTTAGCTCCGCTTCCAGCCTCCTTCTCAATCACGACCGCAGGAAGAATAACTTTATACTTGGATATTATCATTTTTTTATAGCTGATGATTTAAAAAATACACTTTTTGTCTTACATACAGAAAGTACAAATAGTTATAGATGTCTCTTTCAATATTTAAGTAAATATAAATTAAACTCAGGCAGGAAGAGGTAGAGTCAGATACCTCGGTGCTTTGAGGCTTCATATTGATGGTTGGTTTGCTCGTCTGCAGCTTCAGAGTTGCTCTGCCTCGAACCAACACACTGTGTGCGTCGCTGTAGTCCTGAAATAAACACAAGAAAACATCTGATGTAAAGCACCTGAGCAGGTGAATAAAAGAGGATCTAAACACGTAGAGAAGAGAGTACTTCAGCAGCTGGGGAATAAATAACCTGAGCAGGTAGTGAAGAGAGTAGCTGAGCCGGTAGTATACAAAGCTCTTACCTCCATCATGGTGGAGTTCCACAGTCGAGCTTTGAGGGTCACAGTAGCTGTGTTCTTCATGTTGGTCAGAGGACAAACGAAGGTCACACATTTTGCCCCGTGAAAACAGTCCTGAACAAAAACAAACACTCTTACACCGGAAAGTAAAGACAAGAATACAACTCCCCTTGATGTACATACTGTATCTGTTTTTGAAATTAATGAAAAATGAATGACTTGCTCCACCAAAAGTCACTTTTCCAAAGTTTACCAGAATGTAAGAAATCTTCATCTGGTGGAAGAGAGGTAGAATTCTTCCTCTCTGCTTCTTGTTTTTATCCACTTGATCCTCTAAACTCCTCCTTCTCCTCTCCTCCTTTGGCAGCTGATCAAACAGAAACACACAAGTATAAACAGAAACAGTATAATATTTTAATAATCTTCCTGCTTTTGGTGGAGTCTGTGAATCCAGTCTATGGACACGCTTATGGTGATAATTTCAATCTAACACAATAATCTAGTTGACACTTTTTCACAATTTGTAAAAACAACAGATCAATCAGTAGGTTGAGGGGTTGATAATGTTGTCATAGTTACCAGTAGGTTGAGGGGATTGATAATGTTGTCATAGTTACCAGTAGGTTGAGGGGATTGATAATGTTGTCATAGTTACCAGTAGGTTGAGGGGATTGATAATGTTGTCATAGTTACCAGTAGGTTGAGGGGATTGATAATGTTGCCGGGCGGAGTACAGCGACTCTCTAACGTGTCGTTCACTTTGATCTCTGTGAGGTACAGCAGCCACTTCCCATTGGTCACCTCTGTTGGCCAATCAAACTCTACCTCCAGGTTGCCTAGGCGACCCAACGGCTTCCCACTGAGATGCACCTATTAGAGGAGGTTGTGGATTATCACCTAGCCTGTTTACACTTTGTAAGTCAGACTAGTTTTATACAAACCTGAAAGGTAAAGAGCAGCAAACTGCCGACATCCGGCGTCTCCTCCATGGCCGACTCACCGGTCACATGACCCCTGAAGGAAGCAGGACCCGGAGGGTTGATTCTGCCAGGACACAATCAACCAATCAGAGAGCGGATGGCAACAGGGTCAACAGGTCAACATTAAAGCTTTCATACTGAGGACTTACAGTGTGAGAGATGTTTGCAGAGAATACTCCACCAGCATGGAGAGAAAGACAGGAGACAGATCCGTCTGCTCACTGAACCTGAAGAGACAGGAGAAGACACCTGAGACAGGTGTCTGTGTGTGTGTGAGTGTGTGTGTTTGTGTGTGTGTGTGTGTGTGCATCTCCTACGTGGATAGCTGCAGCAGAGACTCAATCTTTCTGGTGTCTAAACTGATTCCAGATGCCTGAAATATGATCAACACCTGAACCTAAAACACAGAGAGAGACGCAAAATCACATCTGTTTGAACTGCCGAGGGACAGACGATGTATCTGATGTTCTCTAGTGGATCCAGTGAAAGGCTATCAGGAGACGATGTACCTGCCGGTTGCTTTTGAACGGGTTCCCCAGCTCACACAGAAGAACAGAATCCTCAACAGAACACTCCATCACCGCCTGGAGGTCACCCTGAAACATAAACAGGGATGAGTCTAGGCCTCTCAAATCCCAGGTTCTTTAGGGACCTTCAGGGTCCTTTGGGGTCCAGTCCTTCGGGTGAGTCTCAAGTCCTTCAGGGTTAATTATTCCTTCATCAGTCATTCAGGGTGTTTCAAGTCTGTCAGTCAAATCCTTCAGGGTCCATCAAGTTCAATCAGTTGAGTCCTCCAGGGTCCCACAGGTTCAATCAGTCAAGTAGTTAAGGGGTCGACGGTGGCGCATGGGTAGAGAGGGTGTCCCTACCTTTGTTCGGACCCCAGAATAGAGGAGCGATGAAGGGATGCTGATGTTAAGAGCAGCATTGTGAGCGTCCTCTGCCTCGCGACCCAGAGACGGTTTGTTAGTAACATTGACTTCCAAAAGCAGTCTGTCAAGGCCATCGTTGTAGTTCAACAGCTGATGGCCCTTCTGTCTGGAAAAAGACAGCAGGATATCATTACCAGCTGCGATAGATGCTGGTTACTTGTTGTTCCTATGGTTTTAAAAAGTAGGATGGGAGCCAGAGCCTTCAGTTATCAAGCTCCTCTTTTGTGGAACCAGCTTCCACTTTCAGTCCGGGGGGGCAGATTCGGTCAGCTCTTTTAAAGTAAAACTTAAAACTTTCCTCTTTGATTTTGCTTATAGTTAGGGCTGGCTCAGGTTAGCCCGGACCAGCCCTTAGTTAAGCTGCTATAAGCTTAGACTGCCGGGGGACTTAGGACACACCGAGCTCCTCTCTCACGCTCTCGTTCTACAATAATTCACGTTTTATTAATGCACATGACTAATTCAGCTTCTTTCTGGGAGTTTTTGGTGCTTTCTCCCCTAGCAGGTCTCCGTAGATCATAGTCCCTTCTAGACCCTGGTCATGACACCTGCGGCTGCCGTCATCAACATTATTATTATTTTAAATATTTATCATAGTACTATTACTGTCCTCATAAACCAACATTACCCTTTCCCAAAGTCTTTGTGCTTTCCCTCCTGTGGATGGTGGTTCTATCTGATGGTGGTTGTCCCTGCAGTGGTCCTGCTGTACGCCTGGCTTACTACTCGTAATAATTTGAATCATTTCTGTTATAGGAATTGAATGTATTATGCATCTTTTACACTGTTCATTCTGTACACATGACATCCATTGTGGTCTGTCCATCCTGGAAGAGTTTTTCATTTATTGGAGAGTTTTTCCCGCGCCCATGTGAGGGTTTCGGGACAGAGGACGTTGCATGTGTGCAGAATGTAAAGCCCTCTGAGGCAAATCTGTAATTTGGGGCCATACAAAATAAAACTAATTGAATTGAATAAGAGATGACACAGTGGCCTAGTGACGACAAGTTTCAGTGATGAGAGACAGATGCTGAGCTCCATAGTCCACTCTCACTGATATTCTCAGAGTTGCCTTAATGGTCCAAATTGCATGACCCGAGAACTTGAGGCAAACTGGTAACGTCTCGCTTCCTTTAGGCAAATTTTCTCAAACGCTTTACTCGCCTAACGCCTCATTCGCGCCTCAAAGGGGGCGTGGCTTATCTCTGTGGTTTGTCTCCATAAAGACAGTTATCACTTCCGCTATCCACCATGGAAATAAATAACCACTATTTCTGCTCTTTATTTGTTGTGTGAATTACACAAACGTCAGAACCGCAAACGGTGTTGTGTTTGGATTCATGATCATACGTCGCCACACACAGTTTGACTTTCACCGACTCCTCCATGAAGTGCGTCTGGATGACTGCCGCTATTTCAGGCTGACAATCAGCCAATGTTGTGTCGGGTCAGTGCCAGCGTCTCTCGGTTAGACACCAACTAACTTACAGGAGTTCAGTCTCAGCTGTGTGTGCGTCCGGTGAGCGGAAGTTTCATAAAGTGTATTGACGCTTTGGCAGCAGGATGGCGGTGACAAGCCGAACATCTCAACGCTGATTGGCTTTCGCAAGACAGCGAATAAATCGCTCGAATATTTCAACTTTGGCAAAAAAAGGATTTATTCGCTTCGCTGCTTTTGCTTTTTCGTGTCCCCCGCGCCACCCGTTCAATATTTGCTTCCTCTGCAACAAGTCGCGTCTGTGCATTGACATTGCATGGAATCTTGCGCAAATAATTTGGTTTCACTTTTGGAGTGAACGCAGCATGAATTTGGGTTTCCGCTTCAAACTCCCATCTTCGAGGGAAGAACCAAATCCAAATCTTAAGTGAGGCGCTGGAGGATCTTCAGGCGTGCTTTGACTGCACTGACTGGGATGTTTTCAGGACGGCTACTGACAGTCTGGATGAGTTCACAGAGGCTGTAACTTCCTACATCGGCTTCTGTGAGAACAGCTGGTACCATCATGCACCAGGGTGAGTTACAACAACGACAAACCCTGGTTCACAGCGGAACTCAGAACACTACGCCTGCAGAAGGATCAGGCATTTAGGAGTGGGGCTAAAGACGTGTTTGACAGAAAGCAGCGTGTGAAGCTGGGGAAACACTCTCTGCCTGTTGGACCATCAGCACTGGTTCCCACCAAAGCTGCGTTCTTTTCCCCTCTGCTCTTCTCCCTGTCCGTCAGGCTCCTGAAGTTTGGCGTTGACACGTTTCCTGGGCTCCATCATCACCGAGGACCTCAAGCTCCATCACCAAGAAGGCTCAGCAGAGGTTGTTCTTCCTGAGGCAGCTGAAGAAATTCAACCTGCCAAAGACGATGATGGTCCACTTCTACACGGCCGTCATGGAGTCCATCCTCTGCTCCTCCATCACCGTCTGGTACGCTGCAGCCACAGCCAAGGACAAGGGCAGGCTGCAGCGTGTCCTCCGCTCTGTAGAGAGGGTGATCGGCTGCAATCTGCCGTCCCTGCAGGACTTGTTCGCTTCCAGGTCTCTGAAACAGCTAAAAAGATGGTAGCCGACCCCTCTCACCGCGGACAAAACCTGTTAGTGCCCCTTCCATCTGGCAGGAGGCTGAGGTCCATCAGGACTAAGACCCCCCGCCACACCAACAGTTTCTTCCCGTCGGCAGTCCCCCCGACTGACTCTGACATCCCACCGGTCACTCCCTTTACACATTTTTACACATGCACATACACTTGTCACTTTCACATACACCCACAACACAGTTGTGTAGAGTATGACTATCTGTTTGCTGGTGCACTTTATCTTTTTTATTTTTATTCTTTTTTTTTTTGAACTAACCCATAGCCTTACATTCTAACACATAGCCTATATATTTTTGTTTTATCTGTCTTGTTGTCCATTGTCTTGCACCAACCGCCAAGTCAAATTCCTTGTATGTCTGACATATTTTGGGAATAAATGTGCTAGAATTATGGAATGGGAATTAGTTAGAAGCCTTCATTTTGTTATCTCCTTTGGTTCACTCACACTGGGAAGGGGTTCTGGTTCTGATCTGTGAACTGGGCTGTCATCTGCAGATTGCTGTGGCAACGGTTATCAGAACCACAGTACTTCTGGATGTGAATCTGATGGATGAAGAAATGTTCAGTCAGTGCCGCTGTGATTCACGGTTGTCGGTTTGTGATCAGGATTCCTTTTAGTTCTGACCTGGGTTCTGATGGGTTGGGGAGACTCGCTCAGTACAGGGAGGAGCTTCAGGTCCTGTACGGCGTTCTTCTTCTTTGGAAACTTTTGATACAGAGAGACGTTCAGGGAGAAAACCAGTGGTCTCACTTTGTCCCGGATCGGACTCTGAGGGGCACAAGAACTTATCATACAGGGACATCAAGTGTGAGGGTGTGATGCGCTTCGATCCCTACTGCTCACAGCTTCAATTCACTGAGAAGGGGAACAATGTGAGATTCTGTTGCCTGCACGTAGCTCTCAACATGGCAACAACTGAGTCAGCGGCTAGTAGGTAGTAGTAGTAGTGTCCACTAAAATGTAGGTATATAGGTCACAAGTACGGTATGCTAACACACTCACATTCTCTATAAGGTGCCTACATGCACTAACACGCACTAAATAGTACGCTCACATGCACTAAAAAGCACATATGGGCCATCCTTTTGAACAACGAGGAGAAGCAAGAGGAGAACTCCCTCCATCCCTTCAGAGATCAAACACCACATTAGCATTAGCACATTAGCATTAGCACACCTTAGCTTTCTTGTGACCAGCCCGCAGATACGATGATTAAATTAATCCACTGTTAAAGATACATCTACAGACCAGGACATATCCTGACCTCGCTCCTGCTCTCCAGTGGATGATCCCATGATCTTTCTTCTAGCGCCCCCTTCAGGAGAAATGAGTCAGCTGTTGCGTGTGTGATTCTCACCACCAGTGTGACTCTCAGAGTGTCACATCGTTTATTCGGCATCGACAGGAAACCGGAGTACACACTCTCCCCGTTTCCACGGAAAAGGAGGCGGGACTTGGTGCCGGTGACGTCAGCCCGGATGGCGAAGTGGATGGCTGACAGACAGAGAGCGGGGTTCAAGAAAGGAAGCCATCTTTCTTTTTCTGCTTCTTTAAACTACTTTCTACTATTACTTTCTACTTTTACATTTAACTGAGCCATATTTAAAAGAACTAATTAATTCAGATTATCAATACACATATAAAACGTATAATTGACTACAATATATTATCTGTTGTATTATTATCATTATCATCTCTGATTATAGATTCTAACTTACAAACTACACATCAGTTTATAAAGTTATTAAAATGAGCGCCACCTTCATTGATGTATCATCCATATTATTAAATAATATGATAGAAAGTCATTTAAAATTGCACTTTTACTTCATGATTTATTAATATTCAACAAATAATTCAACTCTTTCAAAGTCTAACTTCATTACAGTTGACACTACAGCATGTGTTTGTTACCTGTGTGTGTGTGCGTGTTACCGTGTGTGCATGTGTGAATGTGTTCCGTATCATAGCAACAGTGTGACCTTGTCTCTGATTGGACAAATGAATGAGACACAGGACACACAGATCAATACTAATTGTGTGTGTGTTTGTCTCAGCTGCTGTAACGTGATTTATGTTAACAGAAGGACACAGAAGACGAGGACAAGGACACCATGATGTCATCTTGTGTGTGTGTGTGTGTGTGTGTGTGTGTGTGTGTGTTGCTGTGCGTGTGTGTGTGTGTGTGTGTGTATACACTGCTATTCACCACCAGGTAAATCACAACAAAACAGATGTATTTATGGTTGAATATGTATGCGTGTTTGTATATTATATCTACATAATCATATATTTATATGTGTGTGTATATATATAACTGTGGAATTAATTTCCACTTTCAGTCCGGGGGGCAGACACAGTCAGCTCTTTTAAGATAAAGACTTTCCTCTTTTATGTCGCTTATAGTTAGTGCAGCCTGGAATTCAATGTATTATACATTGTTCATTCTGTACACATGGCGTCCATTGTAGTCTGTCCATCCCGGGAGTGTGATCCTCCTCTGACGTTCTCTATAAGGTTCCTTCCCTTTTTCCCCTCTTGGAAGGGTTTTTTTGGGGGAGTTTTTCTCTCGCCGATGTGAGGGTTTTGGGACCGAGGATGTCGTATGTGTACAGACTGTAAAGCACTACTCTCGTTCCATAGAGGCCAATGCAAATCTGCTGGAATATTGCACAGAGAAAGCAGACATATAAATCATATTGAGGCGTTCGGTAGAGTTAAATTGGATTTATAGTTTTGCGGTGACATCGACTTGTTTGAGGTGTGGATTCTAGTTAAATCTGTTGTACTTTCTGTCCTTTGATCAGCTCGTCAACGATTCATTTCATTTGAGATTCTGCCATTTCTGTATTTTTAGCAATTCTTTCCAATTCATTTGAGCTTTTCTTATTTCTGTATCCTCAGCAAGGTTTTAAAATTGATATCTGTATTTTCAACATATTTTTAAAATGAATTTCAGCTTTTAGCTTTCAGCATTCCAACACATTGTCTGCAGGAAATGCATTTTCTAGTTCGCCTTTTCCCTGTTTTTGTGCATTCTCGCCTCGCACGTTTCCAGTATCATGACATTTTCCTTGTATGTCCAATATATCTGGCAAAAAAAGGTTTCTGATTTTGATTCTATCTGGATTGTGGTGCTGCCTCCTGTCATGGCCTTGATGACACCTATTACTTCTAACACCATAATTATTCCCATTACAATTACTGTCAACATTAATGCACATCACTAACTTTGTTTCTTCCACAGAGTATTTATGCTTTCTCGCCTCACAGGATTACATGGATCATGGTTCTTTCATTTTTCCTGTGCTGATGTAGGGTTTTGGGACAGAGGATGTTGTATGTGTACAGACTGTAAAGCCCTCTGAGGCAAATTTGTCATTTGCGACTTTGGGCTACAAAATAAAATGAATTATTTGATTGATTTACTTACTGACGTTATCTCTGTCACTCTGGTCTCCAGTGCTAAACATGTAGGAGAAACACACCTCCACCTGGATACTGACACACACACACACACACACACACACACACACACACACACACACACACACACGTCATTTAGCTGACGCTTTTATCTAAAGCGACAAAGTGCATTTCAACCATAAGGATGCAAACACAAAAGAACAAGAAAGGGCAATTTCATCACATAAGCCGATTTACAACTTGCTATAGATAAGAGCCATTATAAGTACTATTATTAAGTGCTACAATTTGTTAGTGTTTTTAGTCAAGGTATAGTCACACACACAGACACATGCTTTTAGTATGTCAGCCTGTTAGCTGCTAGCTGTTAGATGTTAACAGATTTAATCTCACCAAAAGTCACAAGAATTTGGATCGACGACATCTGGAGAAACTTTGATGGTTTTATTGAGATGAATTACTGGACGAGTTCTGAAGAAAACAATCAATTAATTAATTAATCAATCAACCAAATAACTAACAAATCAGTCAATCAACCAACCAATGATTTAATCAGCAATCAATCAATCAAGTCAATATGAAGAAAATATTTGTTATCTAATGCGGAAAAACATTTCAATATGAATAAAACATAATCAATTATTCTCCAGTTCACTAATCTTCTAACTAATGGATCCCAGTTAACGAGTTGATGTGAGGTGAAAGGTCATGAACAGAAACAAGTCCGTTCATTGAGGATTAAATGCTCTACTTTCGCTGTCCACTTTTCTCATTTTGGAGACCACCATTTGTTCCTCATTTTTCTCACCCGTCCCTTTCTCTCGCTTTCTCCGTCTCACTCGTCTTTTTATTTGTACTTTGCAGCTACCTCTCTCGTCCGTCTGCAGTATTGAGACGATATCATCATCCTGCCTGGAATGCAAAGACTTGATTGGTCGAGTAGTATCACGTGGGACGGTTTAACTCAAATGCAATTGGTCTTTGCTTTAAGCCACTACACGCCGGTCGAAAAAGTGCACTGTCACGTTTAAATCACTATCGTCGTTTTTAGCTTTTGGTCTGGGTCCGGATGGGATGGTTTCTGGGTCCAGATCCGGACAGTGGTTCGTCAGTTAGTGACCTCTGCCTTAGAGGGTTCCAGGTACCTGAGCAGAGCGACAGTGTCGTCCAGGGAGCCAACCAGCAGGTCCGGATATTTGTTCCCATCAACATCCACACCTCCAGACAAAGAGTACCCAAACGTCCTGAACACAGGAGAGACCCTGCTGCCAAGGATCACCTGCAGAAGGAGACCGGGGTGGGGGGTTTAAGGTGTAATCTACATATCGACTCTTATCATACAAAGACTTGTTTACTGTAAGACCTGGCTTGGTTGTGTAGAAGCCCCAACATGGCTCCCCAACCAGATCATCACACTTCCTGTTTCATGGAAAGGAGCTCCGATTGCAAAGTCTGAAACACGGAAAAAGCTAGTCAGTTTCTTCATCAAACGCCTTTAGAATATAGAGTAGCTGTGTCTCAAAGTCACTAGGCTGCATCCTTGTAGCCTGCAGCCTTCACGGTAGACCTGGTCTGGTCCTTCAACAACTGCACAGGCTGAACCGAACGCTCTCTGAAATGGGACGGCCTTTTCTACGGGGGCACTTCCTGCTTGCTCATCAGCTTTACCTCCGCTGCTCCTGTTGCCTAGCAACCTGCTGCACTTGACAGTAAAAGCCTTAAAAGCCAAAAAAGTTACAAGGTACAGAAAAAGAAGATAATCTTATTTCATTTAATTTAGGAAGACAAGCTTCTCCTCTGGACTGTGATATATTTCAGGCTGAGCGAAGAACTTGAAGAACACAACTAAATGTAAAGTTAGTTTATTACATCACAGGTCATTTAGCTGACGCTTTTATCCAAAGCGACTTACATTGCATTTTTAACCCGTGGCTTTTTACATTTTTGCCCGGGGAGCAATTAGTTTATAATCACACAACACAACAAAAGGAGCAAAGCGAGTTCAGTTTCTTTGTGTATCCATTCTGTAACGTTACTGTGATATTTCAGGTTCATAACTTCACTAATAACTACAGACGAGCTGCCACGGGGCTGTACGGGGGGAGGGAGGTAACGGAGTTAACGTTACCACTAAGAGCAGTTTGTTTTAGCGTCTTATGTGCATTTAAAACACAACATTGGTTACCAACGTAACGTAAGCGATTTTTTATAAACTAAGATGTGATGTTATATATTATAACCCGGTTGGGACAAGAGTGTCGCAACGGACGCAACGTATGCGTACTTAAGGATGCAACCTAGCGACTTTGAGACACAGCCAATAAGTTCATGACGACTGGCTTCACACCCTGGAAGCCATCTTGGTTTAGGTCTCCAGCAGCAGCCACAGCCATACCGAACGCAGATCCACTTGGTCCTCTCAGCACCACGCTGGGTCGAGAATCAAACCAACCCCCCCTGTTCATGTAAACATACACTGCCCCGCCCGCCTCCTGCTGACGCTGGAAGTAAAATGGAGCGCCCACCAGCAGATCGTTCCACCTACAGGAGGAAAGGAAACCGGATGACATAATAAACATCTTATTCTTGGACGTTTTGCTGTTAACAAATGATGTGTCACAATTGATCATTCTTCTCAAGTCAGTTCATCTGTTTTGAGAAATAATGAATTAAAATTAATAAACAATAATTATTGGATTTTGACTTTTTGTTGACTTATTTAAAGAAGTAAAGTAATTGGCAGCCAAACAAGAACGTTTTCACTTAAATTATTTCTGCAGTTGCTGTCTCTGTAACTTTGCAACAAGTTACAGAGAATTTAGGTAATATTTTCTCCATTTGGTTTCTAGATGTTCGAAACCAGAAAGAAGAGGACGAACAGGATGTGACCTCTAGTCAATCCTTGGTTACCCGTCGTTGTTGAGGTCGGTGGTAGCCACGGCGTTACCGAAGTACGAGCCCGTCTGTTCACCGCGCAGAGTCTGCTGGGTTGTCAGTTTGTCAGACTGCTTCACAGCGAGCAGCACTGAGCCACGAGCATCGTCTTTACTGTCCTTGGGAGCTCCTGTTCAACAATACAGGTCATCAGTACGTCAACATTGCACGGCCTGATCTTACGCACCAACCGCAATATAAAATTCCTTGTATTTCTAACATACTTTGGCAATAAATGTTCCTGATTCCTGATCTATTTTTGTGCAAAAAGACATTAGCAATATATAAAATTGATCACGACTCGAAGTCAGAACCGGCTGACGGACCAGAGCTTATCTGATCGAGGCGTCTAATTGTGGCGTTCCCGGAGGAGGGGTTGGAAAACCTGCAATTCCCCCAGGAACTGAGCCGTTACCGGGGCTTGCTGAAACTAGTGTTTCCCATACCGTTATAACAGGGGGGCGCTGGCTCCCCCTGAACCCCCCCCCCTTCCACACATAAACAAACACCTTAACTCTACAGTTGTGTGAAAAGGTGTTTGCCCCCTTTCTGATTTCTTGTTTTTTGCATGTTTGTCACACTTACATGTTTCAGATCATCAAACAAATTTAAATATTAGACAAAGAAAACACAAGAAAACACAAAATACAGTTTTTATTATTGTGGGGAGAAAAAAATCCAAACCTACATGGCCCTGTCTGAAAAAGTGATTGCCCCCCTGTTAAAACATAAATGAACTCTGCCTTCTCCTTCAGCCACACACCCAGGCCCACTGGTAGGGGTGGTGGCACATATTTACTAATTTCCTCCAAATGGAGCTTTCTCTTTACCCTCTTCCACCGTCCTGACTACTGTCTTTTGAATTCCGTGCTGTAACAGTTACTCAACCGGTACAATAATCGTTGTCATTTGACCAGACTCCTACTTTCTTCTTTCACTCACTCAGTCTCTCTCCTCCTACTCACAATCAGCTTGACTACATCTTCACTAGAAACTGCTCTACCACTAACCTCTCTGTAACTCCACTTCATGTGTCTGACCACTTCTTCATCTCTTACTCTCTATAACTAACATCCTAACTGACTCTGTACCCATTCGCTCCCTCTCTCCTCCTCTGTTCTATCAGCTCTCCCTTCTGACTCCTTCTCACTCATCTGTGTCGGTCTGATCCGGTGCCATGAGAGCCGCCATGCGAGCATCGGAAAGGAGACGGTGTAAATATAAACGACCTGATGACCTGCTTGTGTTTCAATTTCTTCTCTCCTCTTCTTCTGCTTCTATCTCCAAAAGCTATTTCTACTAATCCAGAATTGAATCTTCATTTTCTAACCGCCAAAAACTATTCTTCTTCTATCTTCTCCAACCTCCTAGACAGTAGACAACTACTTTACGAAAAAAATAGCTGACATACGCTCCTCTTTCTCAAACCCACCTCCTACTTGTGTCCCACTGACTTCACCTCTATCGCCGTCGCTTTCCTCTTTCACCCCCCTGTCTCCTAACCAAATTCTTGCCCTAGTAACCTGTCTGTCCGACCACATGCCCTCTTGACCCCATTCCATCACATCTTTTACAATCTATCGCTCCTGATCTTCTTCCTTTCCTCACCTGTCTCATTGCTCTGTTATCTGGCTGTTTTCCCAATTCTCTGAAGGAGGCAAGAGTTAACCCTCTCCTGAAGAAACGTATTGAATGTGCGAACTCTCCTATCTCCACTGTAACAACCTTCTTGACCCCCACCAGTCAGGCTTCAAGGCTCCACAGAGACTGCTCTCCTTGCTGTCTCAGAGCAACTCCACACTGCTAGAGCTCCTCGCTCCTCTGTCCTCGTCCTTCTGGACCTCTCTGCTGCATTTGACACAGTCAACCACCAAAACCTCGTCTCCTCCCTTCAGGAACTTGGTGTCTCAGGCTCTGCTCTCTCCCTTCTCTCGTCCTACCTCGACGGCCACCTCGACTAACCTGGCGAGGATCTGTGTCGGAACCTTGTCCTCTTACTACTGGAGTTCCTCAGGGTTCCGTCCTGGGTCCCCTCCTGTTCTCGCTCTACACCAACTCTCTCGGCGCTGTCATTCGCTCGCATGGCTTCTCCTACCACAGCTATGCCGATGACACCCAACTAATTCTCTCCTTCCCTCACTCGGATCTCTGCCTGTCTGACTGACATCTCTCAGTGGATCCGCCCACCATCTGAAAATCAACCCAGACAAGACTACTTCTCTTTCCAGGAAAAGATTCTCCGACCCAGGACTTGACGGTTAACTTTGGCAACTCCGTGTTAATACCGACTGCGACTGCTAGGAACCAGTGTTAATTTTGTCGGCAGAAACTATGACGAAAAATGTTTGTTAACGACCTTTTTTCCACGACTAAGACAAGACTAAGACGTGACGAAAACAAAAAATAAAAACTATGACTAAATCTATTCTAACTTTCGTTAGCGAGACGAGACGAAAATGTTGGTGATTAATGAAGTCACAATACTTTTTTCCCCCCTAAATTCGCATGCACCTAACAGACAGGCAAAGTACGGCCCCCGTATGGCAGCGTTTCCTCGGTGGATGAGACGCTCCGTTACCGTTTTTCTAGACTAGCGTCAAAAGCTACGCAGCCTCCCGCAGCGCACAAGGCTGTGATTGGTCCGCTAACTACGTCCTTTACAGAGTCTCACATCTCCGTTTTCACAGCACAATACGGCTGTTATTAAAAGGAAGAATGTTTACGGGAGAACGGATCAGATCGAAGAGCTTTTGTGGGAAGAAATGCGTAAATATGAGCGCTTGTACAAGCCGTCATTGGCGGACTATGAGGACGCCGGATGGCCTCTGATTCATGGAGGCAGATCTCCATAAACGAGGGGAACAAAGTCGTGGAGGAAAATACGGGACAAATGTGTCCTTGATGAAAAGCAGCAGTGTGGATGCACGGGGCAATAAAGTCTATGATCAATAAATAAAGCAACCAATGACTTCCACACACAAAGACGTGACTCTCTAGGTCGTCTTCAACAAAACACGTGACTCCACCTGTTGTTCTGGAGGTGAATCGCTCTGCAACACACGCAGGACTTTACAACCAGGAAGTGAAACCAGTGCGTCGACGCGTAAAGACGCAGAAACACGCGCCAACCTTTAAACCGTCTCGACCATCGTACGTTTGTTACTAAGCAACATAGATGCGCAAACACACATGACAGGTGGATCCTTTCGATAGAACTGCTCAGTGCAGGTGGAGGACGTGGCGGCGCAGAGCAGGTGGAGGAAAACCCGCAGGACACAAGAGAGAAGAACTGGTCATGAAACCAAAAAATAAAGAGGAGACGAAGAGAAAGAAAAGACTGTTCAACGAAAAGTGGGGGTCCAGTTTAGAATGTCTGGTTAAAGAAAATAATGTATTGCACCGAAAAAAAGTTTGCCCACCCCTGTTATAGACCTGTCCTAGAAGGGATATCTACCAAGTACTGCACGCTAGACTATTATGCAGTTGTAGACACAACACAGAGGTTCCCTGGGCCTGAAGGAAAGAAAAGATGTTTAATATGGTTAATAAATGTGACTAAAACTAGACTAAAATATAATTAAGTTTTCGTCGACGAAAACTAGACTGAGACTAAGAAGGATTAAAATGACAAAATGTGACCAACAACTAACATACATTTTTGTCTAAAGACTAAGACTAAATCAAAAATAGCTGCCAAAATTAACAGTGCTAGGAACCTCGGCGTGACATCGACAGCCGACTCTCCCTGACTCTCAACATCACTGACAACACCATCCTGTAGATACTCGCTCTACAACATCAGGAGAACACGTCCTCTTCTCACTCAGAAGGTACTGATTCAGGCTCTGGTCGTCTCCCTCCTGGACTACTGCAACTCTCTCCTGCAGGTCTCCTGCTACCTCCATTCCACTTTCACACAGGGCCATGTAAGTTTGGATTTTTTTCCCCCCTTAATAAAAAAAATCGTCATTTAAAAACTGCATTTTGTGTTTACTTGTGTTATCTTTGTCTAATATTTAAATGTGTTTGATGATCTGAAACATTGAAGTGTGACAAACATGCAAAAAAAAAATATATAAATCAGGAAGGGGGCAAACACTTCTTCACACATCTGTACGCGTAACCATAACCAATAGACTGATTATCTGAACTCCCGATTTAACAATTCTACTTTGGATTTTGACATTTGGACTCAGAACTGTTTCTTCTGAGTTGCTGGTACTTTTATTTTGATACTGAGTTGATTAAACGTTATATCTTTGAGCTGATTGCCATTGATTGTTTTAAATACAACTGATCTCACCTCTCGAATCAATACTTCAGTCCATCAAAATGTCAATCAGTCCATCAAATCGTCAATCAGTCAAAATTTGATCAGTCCGTCAATATGTCAAAACTTAATTTAGACCATCTAGTGACTCATTCACTTCTCACCTGTTACTATGGTTTCATCATCCTGAGAGAGAAGACGATGAGCCTGAGTAACGGAATAACCTACAATAACAGAGGGAGACAGGAGATTTTTCACACAAACATCTCGGTTCAATCTATATACGCTCTTGTGTTCTCGTTGACTCGTGAAACATCCTCAGTCGCAGCCCGACTACTGTTCCAATTCTAAAGGCCGCATCTCATCGAGAACGGCCAGAATACTCAGATGTGACTCGCCCTTCCCATTTTATCCAGAATACAGGCAACTATGGCAGAGGAAAAGAAACACAACTGTAGGTCAAATTTTATAAATACTATTAAAGTTGTATTTAAGTCACAGAATGTAATTTTAGGATTTTTTTAGGTGAGAAGTTTAAACAACATTTGTGTGCTCGGTTTGTCAACATTCATCCTTCTTCTCAATGAGCTCCAGGATGTGGGAGATGTGAGGTGTAGTTAACGGGACCATGAGACCTGAGTTCACCTCAGCCTGGTCTAACTATATTGTAACTAGGCTGAAGTGTTCAGAACATTTAATATGTTATTAAGATGTTTGTTCACCGGTAACGTTACGGCTGTTCGAGGGCAGAGTTTAGATTCATAACATCATGTTTAAATTGAACTTTAATGTTGTTTCTGTATCAGAGTGTGCAGGCTTGTTATTGTCCATCATTGTGCATTAAAACTAACGACGTTTTAGGACAAGAGGAGACCGTCATCGAGACTCTAAACCGGCAGCAGGACTTCAAAGGGACTGAATATTTATGAAATAACAATAAATCAATATTTTTCACATTAGAATTATTGTATATTGCCCTGTAGAATATATAAGTTTATTGTTTTCTTGATGTTTGAGGTGTGTATGTGGAACGTGTTACTGTTTAATTGTTGTGACTGTATCCAACCTCCTCTTACTATAAAGCTATAAAGCGTATGCAGTGTGATGTAATACAGTTAAATGTTCACCTCAGTAACGTTTTATGTGTTTCTTCAATCCAATATGAATACAAATTAGATATACCTGTCAGTGTGAATAAAACTACTACAGCTGCTCCTCTTCATCTTCTTTAGAAAGATGTTCGACTGTATAACAACTCTGATCGGATCCATTCAGATATTTCGCCTAATTATTTAATGTCTGATGTATAGTATATATAATATAAAAAAATAAGATAGAAATGAAATCAGTAAATAACCCTACTAACTAATCCTAACCCTCAAGAACCGTATCAAATGTATTAGCAAGAGCAGCTGACGCGGTGACGTCATCCAGTCAGCTGCTGTTCCGATTGGAGAATTGACCGTTCTCCGTTCTGCCGTAGTCGTGAGTCTGGACTTCCTCAGTAGTGCCCTCGCCTCCTCTGACCGTCACCACCACACCAAAACCATCAAACACAGCAAACATAACATAATGGACCATGTGGAGAGGTCCCCTGTGAGCCACCACATGTCTCAGCAGCCTGAGGACACCTTCCTCATCTGGGACACCAGCTCTTCGAGCAGAACCGCGTCTGGAATGAACGGCGGAATGTTCGCTACCGTTACTGACGACCCCTCGCCACCCCACGCGCCTTCTCTACGCTGTCCACAAAGATGACCTGCACTGGGCACGCCCCGTGAGGTTGGAAACAAACAGACCCACAAAGAAACACAAACACACCACAACAAACACCATAAAGACAGACAGAAACATCAAACAATTCACCTCAGGTTTCGCTCAGAGAGAGAGAGGCAGACACACAGACACACAGAGAGAGAGTTGGATGATGACAATAACAATAACAACATATTAATGAGGAACGTTTAAAGGGGCAGTTCACCTGTATAAATGTTTCTGTGCTGCAGGTTTGGGAAAAAACTTCTTTGGGTGTCGAAGACAACGTGAGGATTCATCCAGGAGATGTGGACGTTACCTACAACACACACACACACACACACACACACACACACACACTCACACTCAAAATACATGTTCATGATTGAACAGAGAATCACTCTACAGACCCAAGCAGGGGTCACCTTGCCATTCGTAGCTTCCAGGTGAGCCGACTATGACCTCAGTCTGTGTGATGGAGGCGGAGATTCCCACGTTACACATGACCTCACTGCTGATATCACCCAGGTGACTGAACAAACACAAACAAAGGTTCACTACAGGAAGTGCGCTGTGCTTGTGTGTCATGTGTCCTGCGTGTTCCACGTGACTCGAGTGTCATGTGACCTGCCTACAGGGCTGGTCTGGGTTCTGCCAGTGGATGTCTGTGTCGTTGTACTGGAGGTCGTTTCCACGGAGATAACAGCGTCCAATCATGTGCCTGAGCTTCAACGCTCCATAGAGCTTAACAAATCGATGACCGCATACCTGCAAAGAGGAAGGAGACGGGTTAGTTAGCCATACAATTAGCTAGTTAGTTAAATAGGTTGTTAGCCTGGTTAGAAGGGTAGACAGACAGTAACTAGTTAATGAGTCAATCAGAAGCAGAGTAGTCAGTTAGTTACTCAGTGAGAAAGTCTGTCCATCAGTTAAGTTAAATGGTTATTTAGTTAAACAGTTAGTTGGTTTATCAGTGAGCAGTTAGTTATTCTGTTAGAGGAAGATAATCAGATGAATCATTAATCACAGTTTGTTTCGTAGTTAATATAAAGGATCAGAATAGAAACTCGAGTCGATAACAGCCAATGAAAAAAGGGACTTACCAGGACCCGCCCCCCAGGTCTGCCCTGGCTGGCTACTGAGGCGCCCAACCACATGTCCTCGATCAGGTCTTCAGACAGATTCACGTCTGAAAAAGTCAGCACATCCTGAATGTATTTTATCAGTCATGTTTGTTTGTGACATCAAAAAAACAAACTACTCTGATGGCTACAATGGCCGTTGCCTTGGTTACTTCAGATATCAGATAAAAGCAGCATTATTTTCGTGAGGGAAGTACTACCCATAATGTATTAGGAGAGGGATAACATCTCAGGACTGAAAACAGATTTTTCTAAAAGCTCTAAATTGAGAGTTTATTGAGTTAATGAAAACTAAACATGAGCTGTGGATTCATGACGGCGAGGCGCCAGGTCCATTTCGGCAAATGGAATGTATCAAAAGAGGAAGTGACATCAGACCTCTTTTAGTCTTACCTGAGAGTGATCTGTCATCTTCAATATTTGTTTTAAAATCCGCTGAAAGACGGCACCTAATGTGTTCTTTGTCTTTGTAATCTATTAGTTCATTTGTGCAGCATTGTACTGGTGTAGCAGTGTAGTATTGTATTAGTGTAGTATTGTATTAGTCTAGGAGTGTATTAAGTATTGTATTGTATTAGTGTAGTATTGTATTAATCTAAATGCCTAAAGAAATTCTGAGTGCAGTAGGATGGACTGTAAAGATTGTAAGTGGTCTACTCAAAGGGACCAAGAGAAGCATTTTGACAGGATTTCATGAAAGAAGTTAGTTGTCTCCTGTGAAAGACGTCATGTGACGTCCTGGTTGAGTACAAGTGAGTACCTGGGTCTATGAGCTGCATCCTGCTGCACTCTGATTGGTCAGCGGTGATCGGGCAGCTATACACTCCTCCTGTCCGATTGGCTGGAACATTAGTCTCTGCCTTCTCTCTGGGCGCGCCTACCAATAGCCTGACAGGGCGAGACAGGTAAGACAGGACAGGATAGTTGATACTAGATTAGACAGAAAGAAACTGGTGAGACGGGACAAGGCGCTTGAGACAGAAATAAAAAGCGAAGACGGGATGAGACAAGTGGGACAGGGTGATACAGTTGATACGGGTTAAGACTGAAATAAACAGGTGAGACTGGATGAGGCACATTGGACAGGACGAGACAGATGATACAAGGCGAGATATGTGTCTGCGCGCCGGGACCTGGGAGGGAAGGGATCCTCTGTAATAAATGGAGAGGTGTATTCGACTCACACATTAAGGACAACGGCAGAAATGTGACCCAATCAGCTGATTCTGTTTCAGTAACCGGGGTCGTCGTGGCGCAGGGGTTGGAGAGGGGGGGCTGGGAAGCACAAGGTTGGTGGTTCGATTCCAGGCTGCCCCATGTTCCATGTTTAAGTGTCCCTGAGCAAGACACTTAACCCTTAATTGCTCCCCGGGCAAAAAAATGAAAAAGCCATGCGTTTAAAGTGTAATGTAAGTCGCTTTGGATAACAGCGTCTGCTAAATGACCTGTGATGTAACCGATGGTGATCATGTCAGAACTGTAACTCAACCCAAAGTGAGAGAGGAAATTATTGATTCGATATAGTTTCTGTTTAACCAATTTAGGGACGCGCCGACCACCTGACCCCCACGAGGGAAACTAAACGCGTGTGTGTGTGCGCGTGTGTGTGTTTTCCATCAAGAGCCAATTCCATTAGAGACCACAAAGGGACAGTTTTCAAGATGGCTGCCGGGTGACCCCTGCGTGACCTGCACATTCTGGGCCAAAGTCTGGAGGTTTCAGACAGTGCGGAGCCTCCGTTGAGGGGGGGGGTAGGGGTGCAACAGGAAGTCAGTAATGTAACTTGCGGCTTCTGTCTTAAGAATTAATCAATGAGAATTTAGAACCCGCCAGACTTACTTTGAGGAAACAGTAACCACCCCCACCCAAGGCTTCAGGGACCCCCCCACATCCCTTGAGAATCCTCATTACAGGGCACAAGTTGTGTGACTGTGCATGTGTGTGGGGGGGGTGTAAGTTAGGTGCCTGTGTGTAATTCCTCTTGTGCAGCAGCATTAAGCAGCTACTCATGCTTCACATTATTAGACCGTTGTGTGTTAGATTTCAGAAACAATGGATTATAGTGATTATATCTTATTGATTGTGTTTCGTTAAAATCAAATGTTAAAACAATCATTCATTCTTTAAATGTCTTTAGTATTTTTTAAAGGAGCACAGAAGCACTTCCCTGAGAATACTGGGGACAGACAGCAGACAGACAGACAAAGAGACACACTGGGGACAGACGGACAGACAGAGGACCAACACACAGCGGACAGAAAGTGACAAACGGGATAGACGGACAGCTGTACACTCACAGGTAACTACCCTTCCTCAGGTCTTGGTGCAGAGCGACCGAAAGTCCAAACAGACTCCCGTCTCCGCCTTTCTTCAGCAGCGAGAATGCTGTGTCGAGGTTAAACGCTGCGCACACACCAACCCACACGCTGAGCAACGCCACCACACCTGGCGCCATATTGACACACAGCTGGAGGATGAATACAACAAAAGAGCAGCGACCAAACCCAGGTTACAATATTGTACCCTTAGGTCTATGAGCACAGGCACTCCCCTCCTATCAGGAGACGTCCCTGGTCACCGCTTGGGGGGAGACACTGTTATTGCAATTCAAACAATTATAGAATATTATTAATTATTTTAGTTGAAGAATCATGTTTGAATCAAAGAAAAGAAGTCAAACCTGCCGTTCTTCAGCGTCTTTGTAAAGATTGGGTTGGCTTTGTTCCTCGTATTGGTCCTGCTCACCTCTCCTCACATCCACTGAGCAATCTTTTGTCTGCCAAACGAATGATCTCAGCTCTTATTGTCATTCAGACGATCTCTCTCTCTCTCTCCCTCTCTCACGCACGCACGCGATAAATGAAAAGACTGATGTTCATGACCTTGTTTCCATGTTGGCGGTTTACTTTTTATTAATCAGTATTCACATCAGACTGTAGCTCAATGTCATTCAGGCAGAAAACAGGATCCCGTCTCCAGAGACCAAGGATCCTTCTCGTTGTTGTGTGTCACCATCTAGTGGCTTGTAAGCACCAGGAGCCAGAAGGGGCCAGAACCATGTCCGTGTGACGGTAACATGTGAGGTTTGAATGCCTTGTTTCCTCAGTAACCTTGTAATATAAGAACAGTTGCAATCCAAAATATTCAACCTGCATTACTCATTAGGTTTATTGGCGAATCCAAGTTTAACCCAAAATGACACTATTTAATGACTACTGCAGTTTCAAAATAATTCAACCCCTTGCCAACAAGCACACTTGTTGGCATCTTCAGAACTAGAGCACCGCATGATTCAACCACCTATCTCAAGCACACTTGGTGCAACTACTCACGGCCTCTATTAGTTGAGATTGAACACATACATTGCTTGACTGGCTAGAGGTTTGTTGAGAGGGACGTTTGATAGCATGAAAAGAATATGGAAAAATTGGCCGTTCCAAAAGGACAATGATCCCGAGCGTAGCTCCACCAAAGCCTGGTTCCAGAAGAAGAGACGGAAGCTTCTAGAGTGGCCGTCACAGTTGCCTGACTTGAACTCCATCGAAAATCTCTGGTGAAGGAGGCGGTTACAAAACGCACGTATGTTCTTGAACAGGAGGCCGTTGGCCAGTAGGAATGGGCGAATTCCTCAGGAACGCGTTCAGAAGCTGCTGTTCGGCATCAGCAGGTGAGAACAGCAAAGGGGGCCAAGTACTGAATCTGTTATGCATCAAGTAGAATTTTGTGTAGAATTTGGATGGAAGCCCTGGTAATACTGGTTCAATTGACCTATTTAAGCTGTTCTCGTCTACTGCTCAGAAATTGTACATTTTGCTAATAAGCCTAATACGCAATGGGGGATAAATGATTTGGATTAAAACTGATCTCACCTACATCGCTGTTGGTTTTGTATGATGTTTTATTAGTTTCCTGCAGTCAATTTAAAATTTGAAGGTCTCAAATAACTAATAGAATTGTAGCATGATGATCTCTTCTACTGTGAGGAGGGTTACAACCACAATAGCAGGTAAATGCCTCTTTTAGTTTATTGTACTTCTGTGGCGTGTGGTAATAGTTCAGGTAAGGACTCCATCACTGACAGTCAGGTGAAGAAGTGGGTAAGAGTCTGTGGCTGTGCAACAAGTGTGATTAACTTTAAAAAAGTATCTTCTACATGAATCGGTTCCGACTCTCAGGCATTGGGTCGGATGTCAGCATAGTTCTTGACAACTCCGGAGAACCTGACAATGTGAACTTCTGGATTTCGGGGTTTGAAGTCCTGCCAAAGGTACTCGGGTGAGAGCACCTTACTGGGCTTGTTGATCCACATGTACCTAAACACAGAACAGAAGGTAGCGTCAAATCAAAAAACAAGGTTGAACAGAAGTTGGCCCTCCTCCTCTCTACCTGTTGAGGTGACTCTCCTCCTGCCAGGCAGCTTCAATGCCCTCCTGGGCGTCAGCCTCAAAGTTGTGGCGGCAGGTTTTGGCGAGGTGATGCACCTCCTGTAGCAGACCCCCAAAGGCACCCCCGCAGTAGTAGAAGTCTCCCTCCCCAGGAGCCAGGTAGGCTCTCGATGATGGTCTTCGCTCGTAGGGGAACTTGCTGCGTGGGTCCCTGTAATAACCTGTGGAAATGAGGAACACGCATTCACCTGGACTCAAAGATACACCTTTACGAGAATCTGTGGACCATCAGCACAAGTACCAACCACTCACCTGGATGCGTCACAGCCACGAGTCCACCCAGCGACTCGCTCCCCCAGCGGCCGTGGAACTGGGAGTCCACGTCCAGGCAAAAGATGTAGTTTCTGTTGTTAGGAAGCTGCTCTTCGATCACCATCTGGATGAGCTCCATTCTCCGAGCCGAGATCTCCTGCCAACGCTTGGCGGTGGGCACCAACCGCACAATCAGCTGGAGGAAAAAGTGCAGTCGCTTCTTGTCAGAGTTTGCCTCTGGAAACAAACCAGTGGCAAACTCTGTGAGTGTGTTGCTTCGTTTGGGTTGTTTCCTGGTTCTATTTACCCGTCTGCCAGAGGCCATTGTGACTGGGGGTACCTCATTGGGCCGGTCTGTGAACACATAAATGTGCACTTTGAAACCAACGAAGAAGTGCTGCTCGGCTGTCTCCAAGAACCTCTTCAGGAACATGATGTACCTGTGCAGACAGTCAGATAGGTCACCTCTCCGTCATAGGTCAGAGCAGAGCGACCACTCAAGGAAAATGAGGTATGTCAGACTTACTTTCCTACAGCAAACACGGTGGCTATGATGGTAATGTTCTTTGGTTTGTAGATGCTGTCGAGTAGAACCGGGTTAAAGGTTCCCTCCCACACAATAGGAGCCAGCCAGGGCGTCACCGCCACCACGTCGATACGACTGCTGTCAAAATCACAGACGGACCTAATTAACTAACAATCAGACAAAAAAACAATAACGAGGATAGATGCTCACCCCTGTACGATACTTGGCTGCTCATACTGCAGACTGGAACACACACAATGATATCATTAGAACATGACAGTCCAACAGGTTGTTAGCACCGCTAGCAGTGTACCAGACAGACAGCAACATGTTATGTTTCATATCACACTAGGCTGTGATACAACAGAATAAACCAAAAAGTGCCCTGATGTTTACACTGATTAAAATTACAAGTATACTATTAGTATACAAGTATTAAACACAAAATGTGATGATGGTACTCACTGCTCAGGAGCCACCAGGTGGAACTCATTACCAACAGCAACGACATCAGCAGACAATCTGTGCACAAATATACACACATATTTAAGCATACATGTACAAATAAATACATATGTGTTTATCTATATAAACAAACATATAGAGACATGTACACACACACGTGTGTTTGTATACAGACATTTTATTTATTATTAATTTGAAAGTGTGCTGCGCACTTTCTCTAAATACACATTAGAGACCCCATGGTCACAAGAGAGGGGGGGGGTGTATCAGTATCGGCTTAGTAGGGCCGTCATCACGCGTCTTAACCAATGTCTCACTACTCAATCCTGATTGGTCAATACCAGTTGGACGGTGTAACCAGGTGAACAGGTATGTCTGTGTAAAGGTGAGAACAGGGGTGGGTCTGAACACGCGTCTGTGTGACAGGTGAGAAGGCAAACAAGTGTAAACAGGTGAGTCTGTATGAGAAGTGAACAGGTGAGAACTGGCGGCTATTGCACGAAACCAGGATAAGGGATTAAGCCGGGATTTTCAGGTTATCCTGGATGAATTTAGCTTTGACTTGGTTGTACGAAAGCAGATTCAATTAAACGCAGCCAAGCAAACATGGAGATTTATTCTTTGCAGCTAGCCTGCTCCAGACCAGGCTAACAGCCGGGCTAACAGCCGGGCTAAGATTAATCCTGGAGTCTCATGTGTTAAATCAGCTGCCGCTCTGATCCGAAACAGATGTTTTAGTGCAAACGGCATGTTTTTTTCCCCCACAAGGTTGCAGGTAACAAATTATAGATTACAAAAATACAGGCATCTTGCAAGTCATTTCTACCATTTGCAAACGTACCAGCCTGCAAAATGTTTTTATATTTTATCTTGACTTGTGGCCAGGATATTTTTTACCCAGTCTTGTTTGTTCTGTAGGAACATTAATTCCCTCTGCTAATTTTTAAGGCAAAGTAGGCAAAAAATAATACATTTGATTTATATAGTACTTTACAAGATACTTTACAATAAAACCAACACATAAAACAATCTTATTAAAAGCAATTAAAACAGTTAATTACAACTTTCCTGTAAGTAGATATTTTTAAATGCTTCATTCAGTCGGTCCGTGATCGTCTGAAGGCTTTTCTGTTTAATTACAGCTGCAGTTTTTCCTTTTTCTGCATGTTCGACGCTTCACCTCCTCATAAGTTTCCATAATTAGTTGCTGCTCAGCGGGTTAAAATATGCTGCGTGCGTCTTAAATCTGAATCAGTAGATGTGTGATGGACACCGTGGTCTACTTAAGAAAGCCGTGGACGTGCACTGATCCCAGCTGTGTGCATCTGGACTGAGTCAAGCGTCACTTTCACTTGTCCTGGATTTCTTTATGCTACTTTTGTGCAACAGCCCCAAGGTGTGAACAGGTAGGAGTCCCCCGGGGCTAGTCGGTGTGTAGAGATACTGACCTGTTCTCTGCTGTGATGTTCTGCTGGTGTGATGTTCTGCTTGAACAAAATAAAACACACACATTACAACTAAAGCTTTCCGTTGCCATTACTCAAATCAAATGTTTTTTACTTTAATTGTGTGGCTTGTTGTGTAGCCTGTTGATGTTTGTTGTGTATTTGTGTAGCTTGTGGTCTTTTTTGTCTTCAAAGTTTTAACATCTACAGCTTGTTAAACATTCACACCTCTATTTTAGTTGATCTAAATATAGAATATAGTTCACATCAAACCTTGTGGGTGTATATTATATGCGTTACCTGTATGACAGGAAGCTGTATAAGAACAGCACTCTGGGGGTTGAAACAGAAATACGGCATTACATTAGAAAACTTTATTAATCCCCAGTGGTAAAACTCATTTGCCACCAAAAAATGTGTACAGACTCATATAGAGAACTACAGACACTCTCCACAGAGCAAAACAGAAACACGTTACAAGGAATGAACAAAACCACGGGCCTCATTTATAAACATTGCGTACGCACAAAAGATGGCGTACGCCGCTCTCTACGCAATAATTGGTGTTTATAAAAAGCAAACTTGATGGAAAAATGTGCGGTCCTTCACGCAAGCTCGGACCCACGCGTACGCACAAAAACGGGTGAAATGAGAACCGTCGGCAAATGCAAGAAACACGCAAGCGTGTGTGAGTGTGTAAAACTGACAAAGAAATGCCAATACTGCCTCATAAATAACACCAACACCCGTTTGATCAGCAGCGTAAAACAAACAGAAATACAAATTAACACATTTTCAAAAAGAAAAGTGAAATATGTTCTGCAATAATATTGGCATGTTATTAAATTCATCCTCTAAACACAGCTGTTGCTTGTCAGATGGACGGTAATAAAACGCCATGATGCCGTCACAATGCGTAATGACGCTGATGGCTGATCTGCGCTCTTAGGAGACGTGGCACATGGACGTGGATCATTTCCACTTCACACTGAGTGAAGTTACGTCTCTTCGTTTTCCTCTCAGTGTTTGTCATGATTATATAAGGACTATATAAGGGCAACTATGGGCGTGACATGAAGCCGCAAAAGCGGCGCTGTATTTAGAAGTGATACGCGACTTAAGGTGGATTGAAAACGGTGTGTCGACAGAGTTGTCCATAAGTGGAGTAAATCCATCAGTAATTCAATTCATTTTATTTTGTAGCCCAAAATCGCAAATTACAAATTGGCCTCAGAGGGCTTTACAGTCAGTACACATGTGACATCCTCCAATGAATAACAAGGTCATGTATTTCCTGGGGGAAGTGATACGTAGCAGTAGCAGAAGTTGTAGCATTAGCAGTGGTACTCACCCCAAGATCACCAGGACCGCGGTCAAAGATTTAACGTTGATCAAGTGGATCATTTTAAAGTCTCAGTTCCACCACCGTAGTCCTGATCAACACGGTCGGAATCCTTATTCCAAACTTTATCAACTGAAACGAGGTCCAGCGGGTCTGAACAGACCCCTTCTCTTAGGAGTAGCTAGTCTGTTAGTCCTAGTCCAGTTCAGTCCGTAGTGTTGACACACTGTGAAGGAGAGTTCAAGTTCATTTAGAGCCAAAAAATTCCACTTAATTCATTTTATTTTGTATAGCTTAAAAATGTAACTGACAAATTTGCCTCAGAGGGCTTCACAGTCTGTACACAGGCAACATCCTCCATACCAGAACCCTCACGTCGGCACAGGAAACAACCCCCCCCCACAAAAAAAGGAACCTTAGTGAGAACGTCAGAGGAGGATCTATAATGGATGTCATGTGTACAGAATGAACAATGTAAAAGATGTACAATACATTCAATTCCTATAACAGAAATGAGTATTGTGAGTAGTAACGGAAACCTGCAAGGCAACAAAGCACAAGTACTCCGTTGGGTGTCAGCAGTCAGGAACAGGGTCCAGACGGAACCACGATCTACGGAAACCTGCGAGGCGAGAAAGTATAAAAAAAACTCTGGGGAAGAAGCTGAATTAGTGATTTGAATTAACGAGATGGTAATTATTATAGATGGAGAGAGAAAGATCGAGAGGAGCTCGGTGTCCCCCGGCAGTCTAGGCCTATAGCAGCTACATTAAGGGCTGGTCCAGGCTAACCCGATAGATTATGTAGATTAATAAAAGGCAGTCCTTGAAGTCTTCTTTATATGAGAGTTGAAGGACATATCCTGGTCCAAGAGAAGTCCAACATTCTTCACGATGCTGCTGGATACCAGAGCAACTCCATCCAGAGAAACTATCACCAGACAGCTGACTTCGAAGGCGCTCTAACAGATGACTTCTGTCTTGTCTGAGTAGCATCAGGAAGTTCCAGGTCATCCAAGTTTTGATGTCTCCAAGACATTCTTTACAAGCTGGTCGGTCTCTTCTGGCTTGAGCCAATTGAGTATTGTGTGCATAACAATGGAAGTTTAAGCAATGTTTTCATATATATATATATATATATATATATATATATATAATATATAACATTGCTGAAAAGGAAGCATATACAGCAGTGTTTCCCCTGCCATTATAACAGAGTGGCATAACCCCCCCACGAATAAGTGTGCAAGTAAAAAAAAAAGTTTTATATTACATAATTCATAATTATATTTCCATGCATGGCTGTTCAACACTGACATGAATATGTGGCAAACACGTCCACGTGCTGTGTGGCTCGCGGCACTAGAGTGACTTAACTAAAGGAAATATAAACCTAATATAGGAAACCCTGAAGAAACACACAGGACGAACTCTACATGTAAATGTTCCCTTGTCACAAGTTACATTTAGGGACAATGTCTCATTTGTATAAATACCTGTCTTTGATTCCTCCCCTCCTGGTTCCTTGATTCACTTCCAGTGGGCCGGCCTAGGAGGCAAGGAGAGGAGGCAATGAAAGGAATCAGTATCATCAAAGCATTTACAGACCTGCAAAAAGTTGGAGGGAAATGAAGACGCCTCAACGCTGATTGGCCAAGACTGGACGCGCCACATCAAAGATGTTTCAAGATCACTTTTCCTCCATTCTACGAGTGTGCGTCAGTGTTTACTTCACCGCGCAGTGTCTGCCTGGGTTCCCTCATTCGTTACACATTATTAGCAGTATGGAGGAAACCTTCTGATGTTGGGATATCTGAAAGAACTGGTTCCCGTGGACCAGGATCACACACAGACACTTACCAAGCAATACAGTTAAGAAAATATATTAAAGGATTCGAACCCCGTTTGTAGCAAAATGTCAAAACAGTCAGATGAGGACTGTTTTGACATTTTGCGACAAATTGTAGCACTTCAATTGTACTCATAATGTCTAGTTGTAAATTGGCTTATTTGATGAAATCGCACTTTCTTGTTTCTTGTTCTTCTGAGTTTGTGTCCTCATGGTTGAAATGCACTTATTGTAAGTCGCTTTGAATAAAAGCTGTTATGTTATGTAATTATATAGAAATCTGTATAAAACGTCAGGATGAAGGTGATAAAATCGGTGGTCTTTACTTCCTCCAGAATGCCTCCGCGTGGAGGAACCCACACAGAGAGAACTGCAGACTCCACAGAAAGGCCGCTGGGTTTAAAAATTAAAAATCTGTACATTTCTTTGGAAATAGTGGAAAATGGAAAAAGACCCCTTCCCATGTAACACTTTTGATGTTTTGCTCCAAGGAGATTTAATCTAAGTCTTTCCGATATTTTATTTAATATATTGTCTTAAATACATGGTTGCTTTGATTTAGTACTCACTTATACCATCGTAATCGCTGCAACGGATATGTGATGCGTTTTGACGTTTTAAAAACTTAGTTATTCAGCAATATGTTTATTATATAAACTCATTAATAATGTGTGACGAATCAGGAAGCCGAGGCAGACACAGCTGCTGCTGTTAAGTAAACGCAAACACGGGCGCGGAGGGAAACCAGTACAGTGGAGCCCATAAACACACACTCGTTAATGTAACGTTGAACACTCACATTAGTTTTTATTAACAATATCAAACGTTCCTGTGTCGTAGAACTTCAGGAGTCTTCTTCCCCAGACCTCATTGAGAAAAAAGACGATTTTAGGATTCGGCTCTAGAAGTAAGCGAACCAGTTGTGTCATTAGAACCTGCAGCCCAAGTCCACCTGTGAGCCTATCGAGCGAGTTCACGTCACACCAAAGAGTCATCGATAAGGGATTATCGATCCTCCACACGTCACCAAACAGACCTGCTCAAGTGATTTGTCCGTGTTTACGCGGAAACTCCAACAAACCCGCCAAACAATCGACCACCGCGAGAGGACCGGAAACCGGGTATTTGGACGGGAGCCGGTACCGACAGAGAGAAAGCAGGAGAACCGGCGGAGACTCACCTTCTACACAGCGGGCTGCTCTCTGCGCTTTGAAGCAGGAAGTGTAACCTCAGAATGCCGAACGCCCGCTTCCTGCTCTGGGAGCTGCCCCAGGCCCCGCCCCTCTCCCCAGGTAACAACCTGTGACGTCAACAGATGCGGCCAGCAGGATTTGAGGTCCGTGAGGCCACATTGGGATTATTTGAACCCAAATTATGACATTTTAATAAACATAAAGACACATCTGTCCGAACGAACTGAGGGAAAACTTCTCTATCCGTCCAGCTAAGTTGTTACCCGGTAGATTCCCATGGTAACGGATGCTGAACAACACATCAGGAATCAGGAATCAGGAATCAGGAAACATTTATTAGCCAAAATATGTCAAACATACAAGGAATTTGTCTTGGCGGTTAGTGCGCGACAGTAGACAGACAAGACAACAGTGCACAAGTAATAAAATAAAGTGGAATGAAATGCTAATGCAATGGGTTAGTAGAATAAGGCTAAGGCTATGGGTTAGTATAAAACAATGAATAAAGTTAAAAAAAGTTAAATATTAAAAAGTTAAAAAGAAAAATATTAAGCATAAAGTGCACTAACGAACAAGTAACAGACAAGAGACAAAGTGACAAGTGACAAAGTGATGAATTGCAGTTAAAGTGGCATGTGCAGTGTGAAGGGGAGTGACCGGTGGAGTGTTATAGTCAGGCAGTGGGGGACCGGGCTGGAGGAGCAGAGGATGGACTCCATGATGGCCGTGTAGAAGTGGACCATCATCGTCTTTGGCAGGTTGTATTTCTTCAGCTGCCTCAGGAAGAACAACCTCTGCTGAGCCTTCTTGGTGATGGAGCTGATGTTCAGCTCCCACTTGAGGTCCTGGGTGATGATGGAGCCCAGGAAACGGAAGGAATCCACAATAGTGACGGGGGGAGTCACACAGGGTGATGGGGGTGGGTGGGGCTCTGTTCCGCCGGAAATCCACAACCATCTCCACTGTCCTCAGAGCGTTGAGCTCCAGGTTGTTCTGGCTGCACCACGACACCAACTGATATTAAAGCTCCTCCCACTGACCGATCATAGTTTATTGAGCCAACAAAATAACATTACCAATTATGATGAAGTTAAAGTCAGTAAAACACTGTGAATGTTTAAATAAACACATTTGATATATACTCACCGGCTACTAGTAAGTACACCTGTTCAATTGCTTGTTAACACAAATTGCTAATCAGCCACTGGCCGCAACTCAATGCATTTAGGCATGTAGAAGTGGCGAAGACCACCTGCCCGAGTTCAACCCGAGCATCATAATGGGGACGAAAGGGGATTTAAGTAACTTTGAAAGTGGATGAACGCTGCAGCTATGGCCAAGGACAAGGGCAGGCTGCAGCATGTAACCCGCTCTGCAGAGAGGGTGATCAACCTGTGCCCCTTCCATCTGGCAGGAGGCTGAGGTCCATCAGGTCCAAGACATCCTGCCACGCAAACAGTTTCCTCCCGTCTGCAGTCGGGCTCATCAACAGAGCCCGGGTCCCCCACTGACATCCTACCTGGGGTCCGTTTCAAGAAGGAGGTTTAAGAAACTCTGAGTCAAACCCTAAACTCTGAGTTTCTGGTTTCTGAACAGCTGTTTAGAGTTGGTTCAATCAACTCGAGTAGGTTGACTCAGAGTTGAGCGCGTGCAGCACCACAGTATGAAGGCAGCGTGAATGGAGCCACGATGCTACGAGTTACCATGGCAACCACCACAAACAGTATATTCACCCCTATTGAGCTGCAAATATGTACGACAAGTATGAACCCGTAATTAGAAAGAAAAGCAACACTGCCACTGCAGCAAAAGACAGAGAAACGGCGTGGGAGAAAATTGCTGTAAGTTCCAATATAGTGTTATCAGTTTTTAATGTACCCACTAATCATAATCCATACGTTTTACTAATTCCCAGTGGGAAAATAACATTTACACTCTGTTAGGATGCACTACACACCCATGCTCATTTAGAATAGTATTGCTGGTAAAAACTGGTTCAATGGGTTATTAATGTGCATCCTGTGGAACTCCTCTCTAATCTGGTTTGTGTCCAGGGAACAAAAACGTTTAAAAGACATTTCAGAGCGAGGCACACTGTAGGAGTCAAAATGTGTATTGTGTTGCAGTTGCATGTTCAGTTAATCAGATGTGTATGTGTGTGTCTAATTTCACCGTTGTGGGGATCACTGTCATGTGTTTGTGTATAAAAATGCACGCGGGTTGCGGACTGACGTCACCCAGTTGTAAAGGACAGTGGCGCAGCGGAGCCGCACCCTGTATATGATGATATTGTGACATATACATACACGTATAGTGGTACGGTGGTACTCACGGAAGAAAGGAAGCTGTATTTCGAGCACATTGCATGAATAAAAGACAGTTGGCTTTCACAAACGCAGCGAAGCGGTGTGAGATCTGTGACCAAACCAACAGGAACACGCGTCAACTCAACGTTTACCTCCGTTACTGCCTGAAGAAACTACACACGCGTTTCTCACGGCTCTGCACGCAGCAGCTTTACGAATATTCTCATGTTGTAAAGGAAAACACGTAACACTACACAAAGAATGTGCTCGTATGTGAGAGCACGTCCACGATGGGGGACGTTACTTCTATGAGGACGATTTGATGGACGGGGAAGAAAAACGATAGCGTTGAAACAAGTAGTCATCTGGAAACGACGATACATCTAATCGGGCCTCAATATTCTCTCCTGACTTTTTATAACGACGTAAAAGCGCTTCTTCATCAACAGGATCGTCCAGAAAAGGACGTGACGTGTTCCAGAGAACACTTTAGTCTTTAACGTAACATCTTATTCAGTTCATGTTACACACACTGAGTAATGAATGAATGAGGAAATGAAAGCGCGCTGTGTGATTGGCTGGGCTGCTGTCAGAGGGAGGAGCCTGTGGAAGAAGCTCCAGGTTTATTGAAGAAAACCTGCTCCCGATCAGGTTACACAGGCTCAGTTACCATGGTGACGGACCCTGAGCTTTAGTTACCTTTGTGAAAGAGACAAGCCAGAGTTTCCCTCATCTCAGGGTTAACAAACTCTTGAGTTTCCACTAAACCTGCTTCTTGAAACGGACCCCTGTCACTCCCTTCAGACTCCACATGCGCATATACATTCACTTTCTGTTCACTGGTGCGCTTTATTTTTAACTTTTTAACTAACAAACAAAGTGTCAAGTGTGCTTCTGTGATTTATATGGCTTTTATAGCTATTTTTTTTTTCAACCCCATTTTTATGTGTTGCCATTTCTCCCTGAGTTGGAATACGACTTCCACCCCCAGCTCTGTCTCCTACCACCATGGAACTGCTAAACACACAGTCCCTCACTAATAAAGCCCTCCTCATATATAACCACATTGTGGACAAAGGGCTTGACTTCATGTGCCTAACAGAAACGTAAGCCAGCGGACTACTGTGTGCTTTATGAAGCATGTCTCCTCTCTATAACTACATGGAGAACGCCCACAGCTCTGGTCGTGGTGTTGGAGTGCAAATCTCCGTACTCCATGACAGCGCTTGTCATATACCGTCCTCCAAAGCCAAAGCAATCTTTTCTACTTGATAAGTAATCTCCTTACTTCACTCTGCACTAATATGTCAACTAATATTGTCGTTGTTGTCATTGTTGACAACCCCTCCTGTCAATTTGCAGCAGATTTCCTGACTTTGATTGAGAGACCTGGTCTGCAGCACTCACACCAAGGGGCACACTCTGCATCTGACTAAATATACTGGTTTTCCGAGAACATCAGAGGGCCCACTCCAACTATCAAAGATGCTCGCTCACAGTTCTTTTCCAGCCCAATCAACAAAAACCCTGGCAACTCTAGATCTTTGCTGTAAACCATCTCCTGAGGCCACAACCACCCTTTTCAACTGAGGCTACAGAGGAGCAATGTAACAGGTTCATTGACTTTTTCAGAGCCAAGGTCAACAACCTTTGCTCTCTGATGTCCATCTCTCTGCTTCCCTCTGACACCAACACCTTCTCTCCCACTGTGCTGTCTCATCGAAGTCTTGTTGAGGTACAGGAGAGCCATGTTGAAGAAATCCTGAAAAACATGACCTTATGCACCTGCACCCTCGACCCTAATCCCACTGCTCTGATCAAGTCACTTGTACCCACGCTCAGTCCTTTCATCACCAGAGTTGTTAACCTTTCCCTTTATTCTGGCTGTGTGGGACACACCTGCTCTTAAGGTTGCTGTCATCCATCCCCTGCTCAAGAAGCCCACCCTAGACCCTGAGGTTCTAGCCAACTATCTCCACCCTCGCCTTCCTGTCCAAGGTGCGTAGAGAAGGTAGTTGCTTCTACAAAAAAACATGATATCAACTTCAGGACCACCTCAAGCACGATCACTGGCAAGAATATCCTGAAACTACAGTACATCCAAAACAGCGCTGCCAGGATCCCGATAAGAGTCCGGAAATATGAATACATAACACCCGTCCTACACTCACTACACTGGCTCCCTGTCTCATTCCGGACCGACTACAAAATTCTACTACTCACTCATGAATGCATAAATGGACAGGCACCTCCCCATCTGCAAGAACTACTCACTCCCCAAACCTCCACCCGCACCATGGGCAACCGGGCCTTTTGCTCGGCAGCGCCACGTCTCCCTCACCACCTGACGCAGCACGGTCACTGGACTCTTTTAAAACTGGCCTGAAAACCTTTTTATTAAAGAAGATGTTTTTTACTCTGTCTTAAGTTTTTTTTCTTCCCCAATGTTTTTACTAGCTTTTACTTTATTTTTACCTATGTTTTACCTATGTTTTGCTATTTCTGTTGCAGATCTGCTGATGAAGACCGTGTTGTAAATAAAATGTATTATTATTATTATATGATCTTATAAAATATGTTGGATTAATGCAGATCTAAGTAACAAGCTAAGTAATGCTACATAAACACTTAATGAAGAAGGAACATTAAAACACAACTCTACTTAAAGTACTCTCACTAAACCTACTCGGCTGCTGTCTTTTCTTTTTCTGCGGGATGGATCAACTATCTGTACAAAGTATGTTTAATCTGAAGCAAAGGCCTCATAGACATGTGAACCTCTGGTCCAT